TCTCTTCCTATAGGACATTGGGTTAAATCTCAAAAGGAAACCAGAAAAACATGGTCATGTCTGCAACTAGGTCTTCAAGCAGCTGGGGGAAGGGCCGAGCACCAGGCAGATTCCCACAGGGGATTGCAGTTGGTCAGGTGGCTGTGTGTGTGTGTGTGTGTGTGAGAGAGAGAGAGCGAGAGAGAGAGAGAGAGAGAGAATGTGTGTTTAAGAGCGAGAGTGAGAACAAGAGAGAGAGACAGAGAGAGACAGAGAGAGAGAACTCAGCTCCCCACTGGACTGGGCTCCAGGGGAGATGCTTGTTGAAGATAATATGATGCTGTTAAAGCACAGCAAAGTCTGCAGGTGTATGTGGCAACTGGACAACAGTCAGCTGGGCAGCTAACCAGTGGGAGAATAAGGCAGGTTTGGGTAGTAAGACTAAGTGTACTCTGGGCTCACACCTACTCCATTCATTTTTTGGTTGGTTATTTGTTGGTTGGTTCATTCAAACGGCCATCTGGTGTATGCTCAGATCTTATACTCAGTGGAGAGCATTTCAAGTTGTCTATGAAACTTGTTTGCTGCCCTCAGGCATACAACATGGCCAGGACAGAGGTGTCCAGAAGTGGACGTCAGCTCAGTGAAGGCTGCTGCGAAGAGGAGGAGTCAGGAGATGGTTGAGGCAGGGCTTGTGGTGGCCCAGTCACCCAGTCTCATCAGGGCCTGGAGAAGGGGCACTGGAGGTTAAATCCTGTATATGTCACTCTGAACAAGTAACTTTGGTACCCACACCCTGCGTTTGTCCTTGTTACTGTGTGAAGTGTGGTGGTGGCAGCTCTAGGCTCCCATTGTTGTCACTGCTCCCATGACTGATTTAAAAAATAGACAGAAAGGAGGCTGGTGGTGTAAAAGTAGAATTATGGCTAGCCAGCATGGTAAATGCCCCCAAATACTCAGCACAGGGGGCTCAAAGCCTCAAAGTGAGACCCCAGGTGGAGGGCTGTGATGGTTAATTTTTTTAAAAAGATTTATTTATTTTTGCATACAAGAACTGGTACAGGCCAGAGGTGTGGAGGGTGAGAGGATTCACCAGAGATGTGTGGGGAACAGAACAGGCAGACTGACTGAAATACACTGCTGAGGGGATCAGCAGGCATGTCAGGAGAGGTCTGCTGCGCCATGTGGGTTGCTCCCTGTCTGGCCGGAGATCGAACTCGTGCTGCAGTGACTGCGGACAGCTTCATAGGTTGCATCTCAACCCCTTGCGCCACCAGGGAGGCCCCAAGTGATGGTTAATTTTATGTGGCTGACCATGGTATCCAGATATTTGGGTAAATATTAGTCTGGATGTTGCTGAGTGGGTATTTTTTTTTTAACATTAATTAGCATTAAATTGGTAGACTTAGAAAAGCAGAGCGCCATGTTATAGCTGCTGCCAAAAGGTTGGGTACCCAAGAAGGGAGCAATTCTGCCTCCAGACTGCCTTTGGACTTGAGCACAATGTCCTCTCATCCCTTGTTCTCCTGTCCTACAGATTTTCACTTGCCAGACCCAAAACTGTATGAGCCGCTTCCTTAAAATAAATCTGTCTCTCATTCCTCTCTCTCCATAGGATGTGTCCATATGCAGTAGACAGCCTATTGGTTCTATTTCTCTAGAGAACTCTGACTAATACAAGATTGCTGGGTAACTCCCCCCAAGAAGAATTCTCACTTCCCCCAGAAGCATCCATTTTCTCTGCTCTTCTGTGAGGGTGCTGGTTAGAGGTCACTGGGATGAGAGAAGTCAGGGTTATAATCTGCCTCCGACTTGGTCTAAAATTAAAATAACTTCTGGAGGAAAAAACATGCACGGATCTGACATGACTCAGATGCCAAGGGCTTCAGACCTTGGCCAGCAGGCACACATTTGGCAAGTGTGCTTGGTCCCTTCCTAGACCTAAAGGCATCAAAACATCTGTGTTCCCATTAGCAAAGTGCTGACCTGACACATAGCTGCGGCTTGGGAGGAACTAGAGCGAGAGATGGCCCCTCCAAGGACCAAAGGGTAACTCATGGCCACCTGGACTGGCCTCAGGCTCATCGTCACCTACGGGGCTCTCAGAAATAGCCACTGTGCCAAGAGAGCCACTACGCAGGACTTCGAGCCTGGACACAGGAGAACAAAGGCCTCAAGGACACCCCTGTGGGCCCCCCACATCCCTGGAGCTTCACTCCTGCCTTTTGGTGTCTTGAGAGTAGCTCTGGGTCTTGAACGTCATTTATAAATTGAGCCCAAACAACAAGGAGGCCGGGGTGGGATGGGAGGGGTCAGGCCTGCCGGGTTCTGCAGGGGGATGAGTGAACTGGAGGGACACATATCATCTTTGTTTATCTTTAATCCAGTTTGAGTTGATTTTTATGCATGGTCTAAGATTAGAGTCTGGTTTCATTCTTTTGTTGATGGCTGTCCATTTCCCCAACCCATTTATTGAAGAGACTATCCTTCCCCACTGTACATTCTTGACTCCTTTGTTGGAAATCAATTGACCATGAATGCATGGGTTTATTTCTAGACTCACAAACATCTTCTTTGTATGATACTGTGTTCTGTTACCATCACCCAGCAAGGTCAGAGACAGGGATGGGCCAAGGCTTCCCAACCTTTCCTCAACAAATGCCCCCACCGCCTGTCCCTCTTCCTTCCTGCCTGGCATGCAGCCTGAGTGTGCTTGGACTTGAAGGTTCTCAGTTGTGACTGGCAAGATGAACACATCTTCCTTCTCTCTAATGAGCCTTGGAGGGGCAGGTGGCTGATGCTGGTTGTCCTTGACTTGGGTGCTAAGCAGGAAGTGCCTTGAAGCAGAGGACACTTGTGTCTGGACAGAGGAACAATGAGAACTAGAGACACTGGGCTGCTCAATGACCAAGTGATCTGGGCCCCATTCCTTCCATAATGCTCCCCTTCTTTCTGTACTTACTGGTGCCTCCATATATGCTCCCCTTCCCTCCATACATGCTCTCTGGGAGCCCTGTGTCACCGATACCAGGTTCCTAGGGAGGGGAATCTCCTCTTCCCTCTTTAAAACTTAGCCTTTTTGTGTACCCAGGGCAACTGTAGCTCTGCAAACCCTCTCCCTGATGTCTGGGCCAGGGCTTGTTGCAAAGGGAGGCAGCAGTTGCCTGTCTCAGTATGGTGAAGGATGTTTCATCCCTGTTCTTTCCCCACTTCCTGTCTCCTCTGTCTATGCCTCCCAACCTAATATTTGTACAGGAGATAGATATCTACTCCTGTGGGATCTTTGGCTTGGACCATAGAATTATCAGTCCATAGTGCAAATCAGCAAGACCATTCACCACGCGGGTGTGTGAACAAATGAGACAAGGCATAAGACAGTCTCATGGGGCACCATGGCTTGTGGGGGATACAGGAGCACTGGAATTGGAGTTGGCAGAGCTCCCACCTGGCTCTACAGCTCAGGTCCTAAGCCCCATGATTTGGGGCAGGTTGCTGGACTGTCAGGTTCTCTATTGTCATCCATGAAATAGAGACAACCCAGGCCTTCTTCGCAGGGCTACTGCCAGCCAGGTACTCTTTAAGATATCTTTGCATATGGGAAGACCATCTCAAATGTAATTACATATAAGTATCTATAAAAGCATTTCTCTCCCCCTTTTTTAAAAAAAGGAGGGGATGTGGGTGTGGGAAATGAATTCTGGGTGGGATCTCGGTGCAGCACTGGGCAGGTAATGGATTGTGGGAGGTCACTGCCCGGGTGCCCCGGAAACTGCGTGGGAAGGACCGCAACGGGGGAGGAAGAAGGAAAGCAAACAAAACTTCTCTTCCCAGCAATTGCATTTGGGGCTGGGCCCAGTCAGGCCCTGGTTAGGGTGGCAGCCAAGGAACCCCCATGGATTAATGAGTTCCAGGGGCAACTGGGGATTCAGCTTTGTCAAAAGCGTCCATTGAATCAGGCCAGTGAGTCATCTGTTTGGTGCGATCTCCAAGGTGCAGGGCCTGGCAGCCTCCCTGGGAGAGCGGTGGTAGCTGTGTTTCCACCCTGGTGGCAGCCTTCCACCGGTGAGGCCGGAAGCCACCCAGTCTGCAGAGGTCACGTGCCTCCCTGCCACCCCACTGGTTTTTAGAAGATTTTAAGATTTGTAAAACTAATACCAGTTGCACATAGAAAAAATAAGTATGAAGATAAGAGTAAAGAAAAAGTAGTCATAAGTCTATCCCTAGAGGTAACTACCAGTACCTTCTTAATGTTCTCCCTTCTTCCATACAGATCATGAGTCAGGTAAGAAAAGGCCATGATGAGGTCGCTCACAACCCCTGAGGACTCCCCACAGCCAGGGTCCTATCACTGCCCACTGTAGGCTCCCCTCTCCACTCCTCATATTCTGCCTCTTACAGGCTATCGAGACTCATCACTAAGCCTGATGCAGAGTGTTGCTCTAAGTTAGGCTTTATCGTGGAAGCAGGAGTCTCCTTGTTCTGTTTTTAAAGCTTTTTCAAAAATCACCAGAACTGGGCATTGCCTTTTAGTGAATACTTCTTTAACACTATTAAGATTTTTTTCTTATTTGCCCTGTTACACTTTTTAAAGTAGGAATCATTAGATATCCCTGTTTGGCCTGTTTTGTGTATTTCAGCATCCCTCTGCTTTTAAAAATGTCCAACTTGCAAGAAAGAAGAGGTTCCCCAAGGCCCAGGTATCCCAGCATTCAATTGAGAGAATCAGGAGCGTCTTGTGCAGTAAGCAGACTGAATGCAAGACTCTTTGGTCCCCGTGTCCAGAGTCCTCAGTTCTTTCTGCCTTCACTGTGGAAGTGGGAGTTTTATTTTGTTTGAGAGGTGAACTGGGGCAACCATATGTGGGACCATACATCTGGTGACCTTACTCGACAAATGTCACCATCTGGAAGGAAGGCTGGGGCGGTGAACACCTTATGAGTTCACTCTTACATCGTGGGCCCCCGATGGAGCACATGGGACTGAACCAGAGAGGGTGATGCATGTGGTTTTTCTCTCCCCAGAACTGCCTGAGCAAGCAGCAGCTCCTCACAGCCATCCGCCAGCTGCAGCAGCTGCTCAAGGGCCAGGAGACCCGCTTCGCTGAGGGCATACGCAACATGAAGAGCCGCCTGGCTGCGCTGCAGAGCTCTGTGAACCGAGTGGGCCCAGATGCCCCCCCAGGTGGGTGCTGAGTCAACACGCTGGAGCCACGGGGCACACAGACCCTTCCTTGTGGCCTTTCTCCCCGTTCTGAGCTGCCCATGTGGGGGATACAGGAGCACTGGAATTGGAGTTGGCAGAGCTCCCACCTGGCTCTACAGCTCAGGTCCTAAGCCCCATGATTTGGGGCAGGTTGCTGGACTGTCAGGTTCTATATTGTCATCCATGAAATAGAGACAACCCAGGCCTTCTTTGTAGGGTTACTGCCAGCCAGGTACTCTTTAAGATATCTTTGCGTATGGGAAGACCATCTCAAATGTAATTACATATAAGTATCTATGAAAGCATTTCTCTCCCCCTTTTTTAAAAAAAGGAGGGGATGTGGGTGTGTGGGTGTGGGAAATGAATTCTGGGTGGGATCTCGGTGCAGCACTGGGCAGGTAATGGATTGTGGGAGGTCCTATGCCTTTCCCTGCCTCATCTTCCATCTGGGGCCCATTTTTTAACAGTTTGGTGGGGAGGGGTGCACTGTATTAAAAAGGCATCTACCAGCTCTCCTTTCCCCATCTGAACATTGTGCATTTTCCCTTAGACCTTTTCATTCCAGGCTGAGGAACGCTCATGTCTGCATGTTATCCTTACAGAACTGTTGAAAGGCCCCACTTTGGGGGCCAACGCTGCTTCTTCCTTCCCCATTCCCTGCCCAGGTAGACTAGTTGGCTCCAGGTTGTTTTTGTTTTTGTGTTTGTTTTTTTTTTCCATATAATAGATAACTTTTTTTTTTTAAGATTTATTTATTTATGCATACAAGAGCTGTAGTACAGGCCAGAGGTGCAGGGGCAGGGAGGTGAGAGGACTCACCAGAGACAGAGCGGGGAACAGAACAAGCAGACTGACTGAAATACACTGCTGAGGGGAGCAACAAGCGAGAAAGGAGAGGTCTGCTTCGCCATGTGGGTTGCTCCCTGGCTGGCAGGGGATTGAACTCGTGCTGCAGAGGCTGTGGATTGCTTCATAGTATGGTGCTTAACCCCTTGCGCCACCAGGGAGGCCCCAATAGATTACTTCTTAGAGCAGTTTTAAGTTTACAGCAAAGTTGAGCAGAAGGCACAGAGAGTTCCACATATAATCTCCTTGAACACACACCGTCCCCCTGGATCAACATTCTAAGCCAGCGTGGCCTGCCTGGTATAGCCCAGGGCCTGACATTGGCTTCGGATTTTCAGGCATAAGAATGACTCCCCCATTAGTGCCTGAAGGGTGGGAGGGTAGGGAAGCTGGGGGCAAGATCTGTTTGTCTAGTGGGGTTACAGACTCCTCCCCACCCCCAAACTCCCTCTCCTGAGGATGACTCCGAGGACCCTCGGTGCTTTTCCTGGCTGTCCCTGCAACTGCTGGCTCATTGTCAAGGCCCAGAGATGGACGCTGCACGTCCCCCAGCCAATCCCTGGTGGGATGGAGTTGGGGTGGGGTTGGGTCCTGCTGGCTCTAAGCCATAAGCCCACAGAGCAGCTGATGGCATGTAGTCATGTTAAGATGAAGTTTGCCAGGAAGGCATTGGATTTCCCACCTTCTCAGAGATTTGGTAGCAAATCCAGTATCTGAGCACCAAGTTGACTGTTTCTCTTGGCACCACTGTTGCGGAACTAGACTTAGCCACCAAAGTGCCTCAAGCTTTCCAGGGTGCTGTGAGGGCCCAGCCCTCTGTGAGACTCATTATTCCAAGATGCGGCAGGACATCCTTTATGCTTCAGATAGGGAAACTGGGGCCAAGAGAAATGAGTTAGAAGTAGTAGGCCCCAGATCTGGTGAATTTCTTTTTTCTGATAGAGGCTCAAGTTCACAGATCCTTTCTGTCTTCACGGGATCAGAGGTGTCTATAATCCCTGGGAGTCTGACAGAAGAACCTGCAGGAGATAAATTATAAAACTGCCCTGCTTGGGCCTCCCCGGTGGTGCAGCGGTTGAGCGCTGGGTTGTGAATGTGCCCTCAGCCTCTGCAGCACCGGTTCGATCCCCGGCCACAGGGTGAGGGTCCCACATGACGCGCAGACCTCTCCTGCCGCCTGCTGCCCTCCCTCAGCAGTGTACTTCGTCCATCTGCCTGTTCTGCTCCCTGCTGTGGCTCTGGTGAATTCTCTCACCCTCCCGCGCTTCTGACTGTGCCCAGTGCTTGTATAAATAAATAAATAAATCTTTTAAAATAAAACAAACAAACAAAAACTGCCCTGCTTGAGTTAATTGAGATAATTTATAAAACTGCCCTGTCTACTCTAGTAGACAGAAAGGTAGCTATTTCTAATTACAGTCTCATCCCCAGCTTCAGGGTCTGTCTTCCCTGAACCATGTGAGATTATTAGAAGTGACCAATTCTCTTTTTGAAAAAATTGTCACCATGTACTGTATCTCTCATGTGTTGTATGTGGGGCAGGCAGCTACCAAGTTTCCCATTGCCATGTGCTGGGGTGGGGGTTGGGAACTGCACCTGTGCCTAGGTGAAGCCAGAGATTGCCCCATAGTAATTGCAGATAGTTAAAAAAAAAAAAAAAAAAAAATCTTTTGCTTTTTTTTTTAAATGACATTTGCTGGAGATCATGAAGAATACTTCTTCATCCTGGAAAATTGGCCTTCCTTTTTCGGACTTCTCTGTAAAGTATCTTCATCCTATCTCCCCAGCTTTTCTTTCCTACAGCTTTGGGGCTCATGCAGGCAGTTTCACTCCATTCGTGTTCCCAAATTGCTGGGATTACTTAAGTGCTGATCTCATTCCTTATACATTGACCTCACTCCGGAAGGTGCGAGGAGCTCCCCTGTGGCCCTGGAGACTCACCAGGACGTGGTCATGGCAAAATGAGCCCACCAGGAAGTATGTCCTCCCACTGGACAGAAGCCTTTGGCTCCCACTGAGGAAGTGACTGCCAATTAAATCAAGTAGTTGATTTTTAATTAATCTGCATCCATTCATTAATTCTACCACCATTTATAAACACATCCTTTGTGCCAGAACTGTCTGAGGTAGTGAGGTATGATTTACCTGTGAGTTGCCCCAGCAGGTAGTTTTTCTTCTTTGAAGATTCTTAATTTTTTTCACCCTTGGAGAGACCCAACGTCTTTCCCCTCAAAGCATTTTCAATCCTGTTCAGCACAATAAAGCAGTAATTTTTTAAAAGCGCTATCAAGTCATGTATTTATAGGGACTGAGGCAGCAATCTGGGAGTGCCCAAGACTAGGAGGTGAGGTCACACTTCCTTCTCACACCGCTTTTACCCCTGCATGCCAAAAAGACCACAATGCAGCCACGGTCAGTTGTCCCCCAATAACCAAAGAGCATTGAGAGCACTCAGAGAGGGGGTGGGCTCCTGCCTTGCTCCCCAAGCCAGGCTGCCATGGCTGCCCCGGGAAGAACACGGGTGGGATTTGGGGCCAGAGTCACAGTGCTTTGCTGCTGCCCTTGGGAACCCAAAGGACCCATGGGGTGTGGGGCTCCTCCACATCAACACGTGGGCTGGTGTTCTGTCATGGTGGATGCCATGACACTGGCACCACTATAGCCTACACAGAGCAATAATTTCATGTTCATCTGTTTAAAACCCTAGCAGTATTTCTACAAATGACACTTAGAAATTATTTTAAAGTGTTTTTAGAAATGGTTCTGAATTTCCAACTAAGCTAAATGCAAATCCAGCCTGTGGACACTTTCTCATTAAATAAGGGTGCCAAGCACCCCCTTGCGGCAGGTAACAGCGCACCACTGTCCTGCAGAGAATCCAGCTGCTTCTGCCTTCACGGCACAACCAGGGCTCAAACCATCCCTCTCCAATCCCAGCTCCCACCCTGGTCTGACCCACCCTCATCATGCCCTGGGGCGCTGTGAGCTCACACCTGACACCACAAGCTCAAGCTGCAGCCAGAGCGGTGCTGTCAGCTTTTAAGTCTGTCACTCCATGACTCTGTTCAAACCTTTCCACAGCCCCACCCACTGCAGCCCAGGTCTCCTTGACATTCCCCAGACACCACTTCAGGACCTTTGCACCTGCATGTTCCCCCTGCCCTCCCCAGATCATCTGTGTGGTTATGCCATCACTTTCTTCAACCCTTTGCACCAGTGAAGCCTACCCTGACCACCCTATTCACAATTGTACCCCTCCCCTGGCATCCCCAGCTCTGTTCCCTACTTTCATTTCTACACGACACTACCATTCTCTCAGACTCTGCCATTTGCTTATTGATCGTGTTATCAATTGTCTCCAGTGATAGAGGGTTCTAACTTCCCGAGTGCCTGATTTTGTCTGTTTTGGCCCCTGATGTACCCCAGGCATCTAATATAGTGCCTAGCACATAGTAAGAACTCAATAAATACTTCTGATTTTATTTGTGTGTCACATATTATTTGTTGGGCAATTACTAAGTGCCCGGCTTGTGGCAGGGACATGAGACCAGGCACCCTGCCCTCTCAAGTTCCATTCTGAGAGAGAAGACTGACAACACGCATGGGAACAAACATGTCAGTAAGGTAACTTTCATGGTTACAAATGGTAAGAAGGAAGCCAAGTGAGCTGGGGGTGGAGGTTTCAGCTAAGCAGGGTGTCAGAGAACACATTGGGAGATGAGGTCTCAAGTGGAGACCCAAATGAGTGAGAAAGAGCCAGAGATAAGATGCTCCAAGGAGGGCCACCCTGGTGGCGCAGGCGGTTGAGCCCAGCGCTGTGAAGCTGTCCGCAGCATCTGCAGTGCCGGTTCAATCCCCACCGCCTTCCGAGCAACCCACTTGGCGAGCAGACCTCTGCTGTCGCGCTCGCTGCTCCCCTCAGCAGTGTATTTCGTCAGTCTGCCTGCTCTGTTCCCCGCTCTGTCTCTGGTGAGTCCTCTCGCCCTCCTGCGCATCTGGCCTGCACCCAGGTTCTTTATAAATACAATAAATCTTTAAAAAAAAAAAAAAAAAAGAGGCTTCAGGGAAAGAACATCCCAGGCAGAGAGAAGAGTAAAAGCCCAGGGCTGGAGGTGAGGTGAGATTGAGTCTGGTCTGATCAGGAGATGAAGGAAACCCTGTGTGGCCGGAGCTCCTGGAAAGCAGAGCGAGTGGGAAGGTGAGACGCACCTGCAGGGGGCCCTTGCTCTGACCTCCCCTGTTTTGAAGTCCTGCGAACAACACCTAGTGTCTCTGAGTCATGGTCTCCTCAGTTTCACTAAGCGGGTATCCTATTACCCATGCCGAAGAGTATTTGAGGATTCTGTGAGCCATTGCTTCTATAGTGCCCGGCCCAGGGCACACTGGAGTAGGCACTCAATAGAGGGCCCTTAAAGGTGGGAACCTTGTAATGAGAGTGATGTCTAAACTGCTGTGCTCCTTCTCTTTCTCCTTACAGTTTCCTGCCCTGCCCTGAATGCTCCTCCTGATGGCAGAAAGTTTGGAAGCAAGTACTTAGTGGATCACGAAGTCCATTTTACCTGCAACCCTGGGTTCCGGCTGGTTGGGCCCAGCAGTGTGGTGTGTCTTCCCAATGGCACCTGGACAGGGGAGCAGCCCCAATGTAAAGGTACGGCCCCTCATCCCCAGGGATGTTCAGGGTAGGAAAGGTAATTCTTAGGGACACATTCTGCCTGATGCCCTGACCACTCTTCAGTCCCAGAACTGCAGCCAATGTGTCTGATGACACCTCTGCACAGGCCTGGGCTGCTCCCTATCCACATGAGCTTACCAAACCCTCACAATTCCATCTTGTTTTGCATATGGGGAAACTGAGGCATGAAGCAGTGAAGGAACTTTTCCAAGGCTATGCAGCTAAGGGCAGGATGTGTTGATTCATACCTGGACATCCTGGCTGCAATGTCTATGTCCCTCAATACCTCTATTCACTCTCGGTGATGACTGGCTCTTATTGACCTTGGGACAAGAAACCTTTTGTGAGGTGTGGAGAGTGACAAGAAGGAGGTACTTTGGAGAAATGTTCTTCATGGCTGCTCGTTCTGTTGTACAGTGCCTGTGTTGACACACCTCGGCAGGAATTTATTTGATTAATAGATGCTATCTCCAGTGAGAATCTCAAAGGGATTGTCTAGAGGGAGAATAGTGCTGCTCTCTGCTATTTAGTGACCAATTGTGACATATGGCATGACATAGACTGGAAATCAGCAATCCAGTAAATCCTACCTCCACTCCCTTGGTCCCAGAGTGGTTCTGGATATTATCACCCACTACTGCATGCATCCATTTCATGTTCCAAATCAACAGTCTTGAAGTTGCCATATATTGAGACCACAGGGGGGAATAATTTCTTAATTACAGGGGATTCATTTCAGGACCCAAAGTGTCAGTGAAAACTTTGGCAGCACTTTAATAACTTCCCCGCACCCAGCCCCCAGTCAATTGCTTGGAAAGATGATGAACCCAACTTGGCATAAAGGGAAATTACACATAATTACACCATTAAAAAAAAAAGCCCAGTGGGCAGAGGATGGTTCCAGAACTCCGCAATGGAAAACAGCCATTTGGTTTCCTGAATTATTTCCCTTTTTTCTTTCTTTTTCTGAAAGGCATGTTTTTCAAACTTTCTGAAATGGGGGAACCACAAGCCATAGGACTTGTCCCTTTGACAATATGAGTAACCAAAGAAAAAATTTGAGAAAAGTAAATGCCTTTGTCCCTTACCACCATTTTGGGAAAAAGGAGTTGTTTTTTCGTCAGTCACTTTTTCAAACCTTCATACATTTGCTCAACTGATTTTCATTAGCACCAGCTATGCATTGTGCTGGGGGCCAGGGATTCAATGCTGAACCTAAGAGACACTGTGCAGCTTCATGCTCATATTCCGGAGGCAAGCAAAACAGGTAGCCAAATACAAAGGTAAATGAGTTGACCTTTCGGGTCAATGCTTTGAGGCGAAGTTATCTAACAAGGGATTAAGAATAAATACCGTGGATATGAGGAATAGTCAAAGGTCTCTCTAAGACAATGACAATGATGCTGAGGATAAACGGAACCTAGTCACGTGACCAGCAGGTAAATGGGCAGCATGGGGAAGATGCCATTCTAGGAAGGAGTAACATGTGAAAAGGCCCCAAAGAAGGGGAGAATTTGGCGTGCTTGAGGAAATGAAAAATAAGTTATAAAACCTTGTCGTAGGAGAAATGTGTGAACAGAGAGTGAGCAAGGGAAGTAGAGACACACACAGGTCAGCCTGTAGCCAGGAAGGCTGTGCAGGCAGTGAGATTTTAGTTGCAGTACCTGGTGATTTGTTGCTGTGCAGAGAATGAATTGGAGGTAAAATGGGAGTCAGGAAACCACCACTGGAGAAGTTCAGGGAAGAGAGATGGCAGGGGAGAGTGAAAGTAAATTTAGAGCTAGAGTTGGTGGGACTTGCTGCTATCCCACATGGGCTATGATGGAGGAAGGGAAATCAAGGCTGCAAGATGTATGATGTCTTTGGAGGAGTGAAGACCTAGAGACATACATAGATTTCTTTTTAAACAATCCCTGAGTGGGTCATTGATCAGAATCCTACTTAAGTAAAGTTAAATGTTAAGTTAAAATGCTTATGGGACATACTAGTAGAGATCCATTTATTCAACCCATGGAGACATGAGTTGTACATATCTAGTTATCGATTCCAGAACAGCAAATACAGTGTACCCATTACCAATCCCAGGGGGGACTCTGGATACTTCTGCCCCTGCATCTTGTTATCTTAGTGGCTAAAGAAAACACGCTGCAGTCAGAGACTGGATGGGATAACCCTTTTACTCACAAAGGGAAGAGACAGCAAGATCAGCATCAGCAGTGGCTGTTGGTCCTTCACGGCCAGTGGGGCTCCCGCAGCAGGCAATGCACGACAGTTCACCTACATGTATGCCTCTCCTGCAGCAGTGGAAGACCCCAACTTCCATGGAGTCTATTGAAATATTGAAAGCTGCAGGCATGCTGGAGGGCCATTGACACACACATAAGCAGAACGAAGAGCACAAGACAGGAAAAGATTTCTAAGAAAGACCGTGTAGATATTTATCTCCTGATAAGGAAGCGTTCCAGGCCCAGGCCCATTCTTATTAAGTAGAAGTCAAAAGACAGCACGCAAGAGTTTGTCTTTCCCAACAGAGCTGTCAGGCGGATGGTTGGAAGTAAGGTCTGGAGCTCAAGGGTGAAGGCAGGGCCAGAGATACGCAGTGGGGAACTATTAGCACAGAGATAGTATATAAATTCATGGAAGTGATAAGAGTAGCAAGAGGAGAGGCTAGGGCCTCCCCGGTGGTGCAGCGGTTGAGCGCTGGGTTGCGAAGCTGCCCGCAGCCTCTGAAGCGCCGGTTTGATCCCCAGCTGCTCCCGGCCACCAGAGAAGGGCGCGCAGACCTCTCCTGCCGCCCGCTGCTCCCCTCAGCAGTGTACTTCGGTCCTTCTGCCTGCTCTGCTTCCCGCTCTGGCTCTGGTGAATTCTCTCACCCTCCCGCGCTTCTGACTGTACCCAGTGCTTGTATAAATAAATAAATAAATCTTTAAAAAAAAAAAGAGGAGAGGCTAGAGATAGAAAAGAAGTGACTGAGGATAGAGACCCAAAGGGCGCTGCAGTTTGCAGCAACATGGATGAAGCAAGAGGGATCATGCTCAGTGAAATAAGTCAGAAAGAAAAAGAAAAATACCGGATGGTCTCACTCATAGCAGGAATTTAGAAAACCTAAATAAGAGACCAGGAAAAAGACAAATTAATACAAAGAAAATATCAAAATCAACAAGCAACTATAAACCAGAGACACACTTGGTGGGGAGTGGCGGGGAGAGGAAGGATTAGGGTCAAAATAAAGGGGGGTGTGCAATTGTATGGGGAATATAACCAAAATGAAAATGCATACATTGTGCAAAAATGAAAAATGATGTAAGAATTATATAAAATAAAATATTAAAAAAAATAAATGGAAGAGAGCAAAGGAGACAGAAGAGGCCCAGTGGTGAGCCACAGGGGGCCGGGCACAGCATCGGTTTGCATGTTTCCAAGTTTATTTTAGTCAGGCTAGAGGACAGCTCCACTTCACACATCTTTTGGCCTTTCCTCGGAGAACTTTAAGAAAGGATTTGATTAGAAAAAGCTTCCTTTCATATAGCAGTCACTTAATAGTTACTGAGTGATTAGCTGGCTGATGTATCCAATGATTGAATGAATGAGAGATTATGGTTAAAGACAATGAATTTCCTTTCAGACTTTTACCTAAGCATATATATGCAAATATTACATATTCAGCATCATCTGTGTTGTGTTAATTAACATAAGCAAATCTCACTTAACTCTTCTTTCCACTATTTCATTTTTTTGTTTTTTTATTATTTTTTTATTTTTATATTCCCCATACAATTGCACCCCCCTTATTTTGACCCCAATCCCTTCTTTCCCTGCCCCCCCCCATAGTGTGTCTCTGGTTTATAGTTGTTAAATGTAACTTGAATGGGGCTTCTCTGGTGACTCAGGGGTTAAAGACACAGCACTGTCAGGCTGTGCCAGCCACTGCAGCATGAGTTTGATCCCCAGCTAGGGAGGGACCTACATGGCACAGCAGACCTCTTCTGTCTCACCTGCTACTCCCCTCAGCTGTATATTTCAGTCAATCTGCCTGTTCTGCTCCCCACTCTGTCTCTGGTGAGTCCTCTCACGCCCCGCACCTCTGGCCTTTACTCTAGTTCTTATATGCATAAATAAATCAATCTTTAAAAAATAAATAAATAAATGTAAATTGAATGATATGAGGCACTTCCTCAGAAAGACTAGTCTATACTTATTTAGTCATTTCTCTACTGTTTCCAGATTTTTGCAATCATAAATAATGCTTAGGCAAGCAATCTTAAGACGTTTTCAACATGGAAAATTTCATGCAAACACTCAGTAGAAAGAACAGTATGATGACCCCCATGTTCTCATAACCCAGTAATTATCAACACAGCAGTTCCTTAATATCTTCAAATATTTAGTCAGGGTGAAAATTTCTCCAATAGTTTCATATTTTTAACACTTTCTGCGAGCCTGAGTTCAAATAAATTCCATATACTACAATTGATCAAATTTGTCATTACATCTTTTTAAAATCGACAATCTTTGCCCCCCGCTCACATGCCTTGCCTTATTCCTTTGCAGTTTGTTCAAGAAAATGAGCTTTTCCCCCCAGGCTCCATATTGCTAACTTCTTCTGGATGGAGTCATTGAACACAACCTTCTGGTCTCTGTACTTGCCCCCAGTTTTATTGAGATACAATTGTCACAGCACTGTGTAAGTTTCAGGTAGATAGCATAATGACCTGGCTTCATATATTAGGAAGTGATTACCACAGTAATCCTTTTGTTAACATCTGTCATCTCATACAGAGACCCAAAAAAAGGAAAGAAGCTTTTTTTTCCCTTGTGATGGGAGAACTTTATGTATTTACCATCTTAACTTTCCAACATGCCATAAGGCAGGGCCAGCTATAGATATCAGTGTGCATTACCTACCTCCCTTGTACGTATAACTGGAAGTTTGCATCTTTTTGGTCTCTGGCCATCACTCCAGAAGCTAGATTGGCTTCAGGTGGATCTTTGTTTCATCTGGGTGGGACAGACTGTATCCTTCTGTAGACATAGAAGAGCTATCTGCTCTTCTTGGTGATTGATGGTCACCATCCTTATGTCAACATCCCACAAGTCTGCAACAAAAGGAACTCAAAGGGGCCAATGTTCTTGCCCTTTGAGAAAGGGTGCAGCTTTACTACTGGATGCCACTTTGTATGGACCTAATAAACCCATCTTACAATTTCTTTCCTAGATTATCTTTTTTTTTAAAGGTAACTTTGCTTTATAACATTATGTATGTTTCAAATGTGTGTCATTATAAATCAACATGAGTATCTTAATATGTCTTCTGTCCTCTGTTTAACTGATGTAATTATTGGTGTAATAAGCATCTAGGTCTTTTCACCCAGATGCCCAGAGGATTTTTTTCTGTTTATTTGTAACTGAATAATTGTATGAGGAGTCATCTCAGTATCGGCCTTCTTGAATCGATTCCCTCAGGTGTTAATTCATCTTGTCAATAGAAGTTTCAGTCACTAGAAAGGGGCCTAGTCTCTGGGCACTCTCAAAAATCTCTAGGACAAAATTCAGATATCAAGGTCTCTAATGGGAAGAGAATTCAGACTGAGTCCAACAAAGAAAACTGGTAAATGAAAGAGATTCCAGAGAAAGTGGGACAGGGGAGCTGAGAAGGCATGAGCCACATGAGAAACAATGACAGAAGTGAGAGAATAGGAGTCAGGAAGTTAGGAAAGCCATGTGGGAAGACTTCTTTTGCCTAAAAATGAGTAATAGAAAATAAATTTTTTGTCAAATCCCATACAACAAAACAGAGAATCACGTCTCTGGAATGAAGAGATGCCAGAAGACATGCCCATGAAACAGATGAAAACTGTCATCTGATATTTCTAAATGAGCTGAAAGAAATCTTTTGAAGATAAAAACTGAAAGAACAGCATCAATAAAAATGAGAAGTGACTGGACAAATGGAATTTTGAAACAAGCTGATTGAATCCAGGAAAGAATTAAAATAAAGGAAAAACAATCAGAACTTGTCTATTAAGCACTTAGCTCAGGTCTAGGGAAAAAGTAACTGCTCACTAAACAGTAAATTAAAACAGAATTCGCCACGATTTTAGCTGGCAGCCTGTCCTGTGGCCAACACCGGCGCCCTCTTCACAGCTCTGAAGTCTCCATGCACTGAACTGAAAGCTACCTCCTGGGATGGATGTGAGTGTGATGACTGAACTTCGCCCAGGACATAATGGGGCGCCGGGCTGGCCACTGGGCGGCGGAACACCACTGACTGTACATCAAGAGAAGAAAGAAAGTCTGTGTGGAGCCTGTCTAGAAATGAAAATCCTGCAACACGATCCAGAAAGGGAGATAAGGCAAGGGTCCTGGGCACCTGTGCCTGGCTTTGGAGCCAACCACCCCTCCACCCCCACCCCCACCCCACAGTGCAGGCAGGTGTGGCCTGGCTCAGTGCCTTCCCCTGGAAGCCAAACAGGGAACCATGGTGTGGGTCACACTGGGGCCAAACTGAAAGATACTGGTGTTCACCCTCTTTGGCTTTCTGCCCACAACTTCATGGCTGAGTGGGCTGCCCAACCTCAGATTGCACTGGTGAGAAACAATGGGACTGGACAATGGGTGTAGGAATTCTAAGCACTGTGGTATTTGTGTTCAGTGTCATTCCAGACACATTCCAGGAAATAGGTCATCTGAAAACAGAATGTATGTGCAAGAGTGCGCCCGGCTGAGATTACTGAGAAATTGAAAAGGCTCCTTCCCCAGGGATAAGCAGTATTTGGAGCATATGGGTCCTTTCATGTTTAATAGAAGCCATATAACTGTCTACATAACATCCCAATCACGAGAAGCTCAGGGAAGCTGAAGGGCCTGCCAATCCACCCACAGCCAAGCTGTTGTTCTCATTAGAAGCAAAGCACCTTTTTCTTCCTCTCAATAGCCACAGCAGGGCCATGCTCTTATGCCAACAAGGAGATGTTTCCAATGTTCTTTCCCAGGATGCTGTGGTCAAGTCAGTGAACTGACAGACCTCTCTGCTGGAAATGGTCTCTGTTCTGTGTGTTAAACTGGGCTTAAAGAATTCATAACAAGCAGATGTGGCTGGAGGGTTTTTAACAATCTTTTTTCCTAATTAGAACATTTATAAATGTTCATTGTGGGAAAATAGAAAAGTGCAAAAAGGTATAAATAGGCAAAGAAAAATTACCTGTAGCCCTAATCACATAGAGAAAAACCTATTAAACTTCTAAATATGTGTACAGAGTTTTTGCACATGACTGTTGTGTATATGATTAAGGAACATTTCTATTTTTCAACATTAAGGAGGGTAAGAATCAAGAAAGGGTCTTCCCTAGATGCACAGGAAATGTCAAGCACAGGAGAGCTTCTGGGCAGGATGGGGAGAAAATTGATTTCTCCATCTCTGGACATTCTGATGGGCTATTTCTTCTACATCTAACTTCCCTGAATTGGGCACTCATTCAAAACATGTTCTACCTGGATGCAGGCTGATAGAGGTAGGGTCAGGTAGGATTTGACTCAAAGGAAGTGTGGGCTTGTGCCCACAGTAGCTGCCTCTGGCTAAAACTACCTGCATTGCAAATTAGAAAGTGGTGCCTCTGGGTGGAGCATGGCCAGGTGATGGGCCAGCTCCCACAGGCAGAGCTTCAGGTGGGCACAGTGTGTACCAGGGCACGTGGCTTGCTGAATGGAAGGCAGGCTGCATGCCAGCCCCATTGGCATGTGATAGAGCCCTATTTCATGTGATAGAGACAGTAGCAAGGGATGGGTAGGGGAGAGATAGGAAATTGGAACCATCCTACAATGTGAAGAAAGTTAACCCATCATTTTTTGTTTGTTTTAGAATTAGAATGCACAGTCTTGTCCTTGAAATTTTTTTCTTTTCCTAGAAATCAGTGAATGCTCTAGCCAACCTTGTCAAAATGGTGGGACATGTACAGAAGGAGTCAACCAGTACAAATGCATTTGTCCTGTAGGAAGGACTGGAAACCGCTGTCAATATCAGGCACAGACTGGTATGTAGCTGCTGTGGAACTGGGTGAAGACAGGGAAGAAGACCATGTTCAAGTGTCCCCCAATGCAGACCTGTTGGGATCTCAGAGAGTTGGTGTTTCTTCTGTTTCCTGTCTACTGATGCCTCTGGTTCCATGAGATGGTTATTGGGGATGGAGTTTAGCTCCATGGGGTAACAGTTTTAATCCTTCTTATGGAAGGAAATGAAAATGGAAGTTCTGACTCCCAACCTGAAAGCTTCCTGATTGGGTATTTGACCTGAAAAATTTCCTTGATGCCACCTTCACTTCATGGATATTTCCCCTGCAGATCAGAAAAACAATTTCTCCTTTTAAATGCTCCCATCACATCCTCAAAATTAGTAGCTATTGATACACGCTCAAGTATTTTCAGTCCTGGAAAACCAGACATTTGACTGGTGATGAGGTTATTATCCACATCTTAAAGCCTAACAAATCTCCAGGCAGAAGGTCTATAAGTCAAACAGCAGCTGTTTTTGCAAATGCAAGAAACCCCAATAATAAGGAATGTGTGAGGGAGAGAGGGGACTCCTCATACTGTGCTGTAATCAATGTTTCTTATATTTAAAAAGGAAGAGCCAAAAGAGGACCTATTCCTTCGCCAGAAGAGCCTGGAGTGTACTGTCAATGTGTGTGCAATGTCTGTGCTTGGTGGGGGAACTGATAGTCAGCATAGTATTCAGAGAGCAAGAGCTTTGCCAAATCTTGATATCCTTGCATTGGGCCCAGCCCTAGGTCAGTTTAAAATATTACCCCCAAGAGATTTGCTGCCTAATATGTCTCGATTCTATTCAGCTGAGTCAGCCTACTGGCTGCTTTCTCAGGAGGCTGCCATCCAGGGAGTCCAGAGGCCCCTTGACAGCTCCTGTCTTTGGGGCTGCTCTCTGTGGAAACAGAAGGAGGCAGGGCCTTCTTGGCAGCCCTGCTGCTTCTCCCCGCCTTACAAACAGGAAGGAAAAAAAGAAACGGGCCCCCTTTTAACCCTAATGTTTTGGTCCCAGACACAATATTTTAGGCCCCACCTAAGGGTTTCTGTACCCAGCCAGTAGTTCCTCAGGTCCAGGAGGGCTCTTTACATATAAAGTATCCTCATGATAGAAATAGACTCCAGGAAAAGGAAGGAGTGAGTGAGCAGGTGCATCCAAAGGCTGCTCATGTCCTCTCAGTCTCAGTGAAGGGCCCAGCAAAGCCATGGCTTCTTCCTCTCCTGGTGCTCAGCCTGGAGCCCTCCTTCTGACCAGCTCTGCCTGTGTCTTTCCAGCAGCGCAGGGAGACACTCTGTGATTATTATTATTTTTTAATCCATTCACCTTTTCTTGATTGCTGTTATATATATATATATATATATATGTTATATCATTTTAAGCATACAGTTCAGTGTTATTAAATATTCACAGTGCTGGGCAACCACCACTACCAACCACCTCCAGAACTCTTCATCTTGCAAAAGGGAACTCTGTCCCATTGAAACTAGCACCCCCCACCCTCTTCCATCAGCCTCCCCCAACAATCACGCCACTACCCCTCTCTGAATTTAACTACTCTAAGAACTCATTTAAGTGGAATCCTACAGTTCCTGTCCTCATTCAATTCCTTTTGCCACCGATTTCTCTATCATCTCCCTTAACCAAATGAGAGCTCTAAATCCTTTGAAAACCTTCAAAACCTCTCCTTTTTTTCTGATAAGAAAAGTGATTTATGTTCTTGATTAAAAACAACAACAAAAAAACTTAGTCGCATAGAAAAGAACAAAGTGCAACAAAAGAGAAACCCCCAAAACAGCATTTTAATTTTAAACTCCGGTGATCAAAGTTAGCATGTTGGTGTTTTTAAATGGAAACATGAATTTCACATCACCCTGGGCCCTCTTGGTGCTCAGTTGTGTGACCTGCTTTTTCTTTCTTTTTTTTTTTTTAAAAAGATTTATTTATTTATTTATTTATACATACATAAATACATACAAGCACTGGTACAGTCAGAAGCGCGGGAGGGTGAGAGAATTCACCAGAGCCAGAGCGGGGAGCAGAGCAGGCAGAAGGACCGAAGTACACTGCTGAGGGGAGCAGCGGGCGGCAGGAGAGGTCTGCGCGCCATGCGGGACACTCCTCCAGTGGCCGGGGAGCAGCCGGGGATCGAACCAGCACTGCAAAGGCTGTGGGCAGCTTCGCAACCCAGCGCTCAACCGCTGCGCCACCGGGGAGGCCCTGTGGGGCCTGCTTTTTCATGCAATATTATTATATTCGGGTGCGCTCCCCGCCCTCCGTCCCTTAGACTGGGCGCTACACCTTCGGCTGAATTTTTTTTGCTTAATGACTTGTCTTTCCTTTCCCTACTCCAGAGTGACCTCTGAGAAGGGCCGCGCCCCGTCTCGGTTTTCCTCCCGGGCCCTACTCAGGGTTGGGCCCCCGGCAGGTGCGCCAGGGCCGGGCACTGAGGGTGTCTTCTCCCCGCAGCCGCCCCGGAGGGCAGCGTGGCCGGCGACCCTGCCTTCAGCCGCGCGCCGCGCTGTGCGCAGGTGGAGCGCGCGCAGCACTGCAGCTGCGAAGCGGGATTCCACCTGAGCCGCGCCGCCGGCGCCGACAGCGTCTGCCAGGGTAGGTGCGGCCTCCGGCCCGGGCGCGGCGCAGCGGCGGTGCAGGGGGCGGGAGGTTGGGGCAGCGAGCTGGGAGGGCAAATGCTGACCTAATTGTGGTTAAGACACAGCTAGCAGGTAGATATCAAGGGTCACAAGAAAGGAAGGCTGCAGAGGAAGCAGCGAGGGGGACGTGGGGACAGGTTCACGTGCAATCAGATCCTATCTCCACACAAGCTTGCGCATTCATCTAGGAAAATCTTGCACCCCTTTCTTCCCAATCCCCCTCTGACTGGAATCAAAAGAGTGGGTGGCAGGGAGGAGCTTGAATCGCTGCGCTGGTGTACAGGGACTGGGACTCACTCCCTGCCCTCTGCTCTGCTTAGCTTTGCTGACCCGCCCGCTCCTGCTCTCTTCTCGTGATTACCAAAGTTCTGCCTGAAACCATGGCTTCAAACCTGAGTTTGTGCTGAGTTGGTGCTGACAGCCTCATAATGCAACAGCAGAAATAATGCTCCATTACTCTCAAAGATGATTCCCAAAGCATTAAGATGGGGCTTTGAACTCATCAGGGGAGCGAGGTGCACCCTTGCCCTCTAGGCTGCTAGACCTGATTTGCCAGCCTCTGTGGGGTCTCCAATTAGTATTCAGCCTTAGACTGGGGGCCGAGGGAGGGTCGAACACATTAGCTCCCTCTCACTCCTCCATACCATTGTCTTCTGGGAAAATGGGAGCATCCCTGCTCCTCTTCTGGGTATTCTACTGGGATGAGGGCTCAGTCCTTGGATGCCTGCCCTGCAGCATCTGGAATCATACTGAGCATTTCTGTCCCCAGATGTGAATGAGTGTGAGCTCTACAGGAGAGAGGGGCATCCCCGGCTCTGCATGCACACCTGTGTGAACACCCCGGGCTCCTACCGCTGCACCTGCCCAAGTGGGTACCGGACCTTGGCTGATGGGAAGAGCTGTGAGGGTAAGTGAGACTGTTTCAGAGGCAGGTGGCTTTGGGCCTGGAGAGTGGCCTCCACACCTGGTCATTTGCTGCTTCAGTGACCTGCCAGGACCTCAGAATGGAGTACGGGGAGGGGTTTTAAGCGCTTCAAAATCTCAGATATATTCAGCCTTAAAAAAAAAGGGGGGGGGGAAGGACCTCTCAAAATCAGTCACATCGTCATCTATATATGTAGGAAAATTAGTTGCTTAACCATACTGGCAAATAGTCTCTTTTGGAATAGACCTTATGGAATAACTGGTTTCAAGGTCAGGTTATGTCCTCCCACTCAGCAATGCTTTTAGCTAGGGCTGGACTCAAAAGCAGAGCAACCAGTTGGTCACCCACATTATGCAACCTGGAGGAGACCATGAGGCTCTGGACAGTGCAGATTCTCCACTGCCCTGCACTGCCAAATCCGCCTCTGAAATGGGCAGTACCTGATGGACACTAAAGTTTTAGTGTGGCTGGGCTCCATAGCAGCTGAGGACCAGAACAAGACTGAGCACTCAGGGACAGGCAAGAGGGAGAGACCATCACTACCTCTGGCCTTGAGAAGTAAGGGGAGGCCTAATAGAGCATGACCATGGTGGACAGTTAACACCAGAACTGCATCCAGGCAGGGACAGTACAGAAGAATCAACATCCTAGTCCCTCAAGTCTCCCATCTGCCAAACCCAACTGTAAGTCAGAGGACCTGAGAGCCAGGAGGTACAGTCCAGAGCAATCAGTTGCCATAGCAACAGAAAGTGGATCTCAAGATGGTGAGGGGAGCAATAAGATCGGAAGAATCCTGATCCTAGGTAGTAGCCTCCTGGAGGACTGGGTTGAAGTTTCTGAGGCCAATTCCAGACACAGTGGGAAGGTGATTTCATTGGCAAGTATTGGCTGCTATGTCAGCAGAAGGATCCCAAAGAGGGCAAAAGGGGATATGTGCAAAGTGGGGATGATTGGCGGAATGGAGAGGCTGAGGACCCTCCCAGCAGTCACCAACATCACCAGCAGAGAGGTCCCAGGGACACTGGGCACACTAACAGTCCCAATCTGGTCACTATGTCAAGGACACAAACACTTCTGCACTGAAGGTGGTTCATTACCCACTTGGGTACATAGGGGGCATCTGGGGACTGCTGCCAGTGGCTTGTGTTCACTTTTGTGATGACTATTATTACCATGTTGAGGCCTCCCACTTCCCCACTTCTTAAGGAAAACACAGGTTTGAGAAACACAGATGTACAGTCTTCACATTAGTCCATAGTCAGAATATGCATCTCAGACATGAGGACAAAATGGTCTTCATGCTGTTGCTGTCCCCAGATGCTGGCCCAGCAACCCCAATGATCCAGTGATTTTGGAGAAAACTGGGTCTGCAGATGCAGGCTGGCCTCAACTAGGAGACCCCTCAGCAATACTGCCCCCATGGAGACAGGACATAGCAAGCGTCCAGCAGGTCCCAGACAGTGGCTCTGAACTTGTGAGGTAGAAGGGGCAGGAGAGAGGGCAGAGGGCTCTTGGCAGGCTGATGTAGGAATGGGAGAAAAGAGGTGGCTTCCCAGTGAAAAATTAGTGGGCTCTACTGCAGGACTGAGGATATCGGGTACTAAAGCAGGAGAAGGTATCCACAATGGCTTGCTCCATCCATCTGATAATTATACATGAAGGCCCATGCAGAATTGTGCAGGGTTGGGTAGAAACACAGCCTCCACCTGGGAAACTCACATCTTAAAGGGAGCAGAGAATGCATACAAATGAGAGTAAGGCTGAGTAGGAAGTCCAAAGGGGCCATGAAAACAGCCTAAGACAGGACCGGGGCCTTTCGGTTAGGGAGGAGGCAGGTTCGAGAGCAGTCTATGTTGTAACCCTTACTTGCTGCATTCCGGCACCTCCACAACCACTCATACCCCAGGGAAGGAGAACAGGGTCTGGGGATGGAGTTCCCCAGCATGGTTTTGCAGCACTTCCACAAGACCAAGTTCTCAAATGGCTGAGAAAAATAGGCTTTCCTGCTTTAAGAATAAGCTGTAGGTGTCTGGCAAGCTCGCCATGTCAGACCAACACATGCCGATGCCTGATGGGGCCTTTAGTGTGGTCCTGTCAGTGAAGGAGGAAACATTGGAGGACCTTCACCCTCACCGGGTATCCCATATTTCAGATGTCGATGAGTGTGTGAGCCCACAGCATGTGTGCCCCCCGGGAACCACATGCATCAACACAGGTGGGGGCTTCCAGTGTGTCAGCCCAGAGTGCCCTGAGGGCAGCGACAATGCCAGCTACGTGAAGACGTCTCCCTTGTGAGTATAGCCTGGGCCACGCACAGCTGGGCCTCCACGTTGGCTGGGCCACATTCTTCCAAGAAGTTTTTAGGGAGAAGTACAATGGGGAGAAGTACAGATATGTACGAGGAAAGATGAAAGTTGGGGAGATGGAAGTATGGCTTCTCCGAGCTTCCTTAATTGTCTGCACTGGACACACTGTTGCTTTGTGCCATAAGAGTCCACTGTGCATGATAGGAGTAATGTTCCAAGCGCATCTGTGTGGACATGAAGGATGATGGGACCGCAGCCCCCCAAGGGTGGCACTGTCAGAGAGGGTCACTGCAGGGAGAACTTTACCAGGAGGCAGGTGTATCTATACCAGTTTCTCATGTTCCCCCAGCTAGTCACTTGTATATCCTGTAACTTTACATTCTATCATTCTGCTTTTCTAATGCTACTTACTAGATGATTCAACTTCTAGCAACCTCAACCCTTAATAGTTTTGTGAGTCTTTTTTCCAAAAGGTGGGTGATGGACCTTTAAAAATAATTACAGTGATGACAAATTGTATGCATTTTCTTCTGAAATAGAATCACAGGAAGCTTAGCTTTAGAGTGAATTGACTAGACAAGTTTAGATGCTCGAATTATTTTGGGAGCGATAGTAGATTAGAAACAGCAAGCAAGTCAGTGGCACTTAAGCCTGGGAGCCACAGTGAGAGTGAAGACACCAGGATCTTCCACAGGAGTCACTGAGTGAAGGGGGAGAGAGCCTGTATGTCCGCCCTTTGGGAACATCATTTATTAACCGTGGGTGTGATATCAACCATGATGATATCAGTCACCAAATAGGCGACATTGCATTTATCTCTTATGTTTGAGAAGACAGAGAAACATCAAAAGCATTTCCACAAGACGCTGGCTCTAGATGGTTGGGAAGATGGTTTCCTACTTGAAGAATAAATAGTGGGTGTTAAGAAAGCTCACCATGTGGGAACCACCCATCCAGGATGTTGCCAGCTAGCTGCTGGGATCCCATCCCAAGAGAGGTCTCAGCTCCTACAGAAGGGCACCTGCGTTGAATACCAGCATCACCATTGTTAATCTTCCCTGCTTTACTTTTCTGTAAAAAGTATAGGAACAGTCCCTGCACATACACACGTATTCACACATGCACACATGTATGGGTACTCAGGACAGCATCTCTCCCCTGGTCACGCCTAAAACTGGCCTTGCTTTCTTGCACCTGTACTGAGGGACCCGAGACTGGGAAGGCCACTTTGGTGGCCTCTACAAGTGGTCAGGTGGGGCAAACAAGCCAGGTCCAAGCCAGCCCCTGGCCAGCTTCCCCAAGGCTGACTCCTTGTGTTTTGCCTCTCTGCTCCAGCCAGTGTGAGCGAAACCCCTGCCCCATGGACAGCAGACCATGCCACCACCTGCCCAAGACCATCTCCTTCCATTACCTCTCTCTGCCTTCCAACCTGAAGACGCCTATCACACTTTTCCGCATGGCCACAGCCTCAGCCCCTGGCCGACCTGGACCCAACAGCCTGCGATTTGGAATTGTGGGTGGGAATGGTCGTGGCCACTTTGTGATGCACCGCTCGGACAGACAGACTGGGGAGCTGATCCTCGTCCAGACCTTGGAGGGGCCTCAGACGCTGGAGGTGGACGTTGACATGACAGAATACCTGGACCGCGCCTCCCAGGCCAATCATGTGTCCAAGGTCACCATCTTTGTATCCCCTTACGACTTCTAAGGGTGCCACGGGGGTGCCAGGGTGTGGAGGTCTGGGCTCATTTCTCTTTCCCTAAGACTCAGAAGGGGGTATGGACTGCAACAGACCTCTCTGCCCACCCCTGTCACATGCCAACCTGCCTCTTCACCCATGGAGTGGCAAAGGACAGCCACAAAACCCAAACTGCTGCCACCATATTTTTTGCTTTAAGGTGCTTCCCCTAGATTATGCACTCATTTTCTCAAATTGTTTTTTCAGGTGCATAGGCGGCTTCTCAAAATGTCATGTGAATGGCATTGAGTTTGAACTATCTGGGGAGGGAGAAGTTCCTGGTATGTGTCTGAGATGACAGTTAATCCTTCTGTATTGTTACAGTCAAACCTTGTGATGAAGTGGTTCTAATCATGCTGGGGGTCAAATCATGCACGTGGCATGGGTCCAGGGGCCCTTAACCACAACCCGTCCATATTACTCTTACTCAAATTCCTCTCTTTGGCATGACAGCCAGCCTTCTCTCATCAGGGAACCATGAGAGGTCCTGGCACCCCCATGCAAGTTCTTCTAGACTAAGGGACCAGTGTTAAAGCATAGATTCTGCCTGAATTGATCCCCTTTTGAGAAATCATATCTCAAAAGATAACCTGTTGCTATAATTGGAGAAACAGTCTATTGCTCCTCCCCATCCACCTGGCCTGTCCCTGAGCACGTGCTAGCCCAGTTCCTTCTAGGAAAGGATACCTGATTGTCTTTCTAGGCTGGACCCCTGGCTTAAATGAGGAAGAAAGAAAACACAAAGTTGATGTTGGGATTGCTCTACCAATAGAAATTTGGGTTGGCCAAATGGTAGATTGGTAAGGAAGGCAATATCTGGCAACAGAGAGTTTTAGAAAATGCTTGCATTGCCATTGATTATAGTTACTTCTGATGGTAAAGCCAGAGATGATGCCCTCCTGGTGAATGAGGAAAGAAAGCACTGCCTGAGGCTAGGAATGGACTGTGAAAGACCCTAAATTCAAACTGAGCTAGCTAAGCTGTGAAGATGTGTCAATGTTAGTCTTAAGTGAGATTGCATCACATTTCACTTAAAAATTCGTCTTGGTGTGAGGTGGAGCTAGAGAAACATGTTGCTTCTTTAGTGATCAAATCCTAAATCAAAATGGTTTCTGGGACACCTTACTTTGTCAGCAAAGAGAGAGACACAATCAAGAGTTGCCTTCGAAATTCTGCTGCCAGGGTCTCAGCTGCACTCTCTCCATCCAACAACAGAAAAAGGGCCTACAAATGTACTTTTCCAGGTTGTTTCAAGACTTTATTAAAACGATTATCCACAGCCTCATGTTCCCAAATGGTGCTATGATGGAACAACCCAAACCCCTGTACAGAACACCAGAGCCCAAGGGCCTGGCCATGTTCCTGAAAATAAGATGCCCCAACACTGTCCTCTTCTTTCTGCAGAGGGCGTGGGTGCAGCCTAGAAAGAGAAGCCTCTTACCTCCCAGCATGTGAGGAATCATTTGGGACCTATAGAACAGGTGCCCCACCTAAACCAATGTATGATAATAATATGAATGCCAAACAGGTCCAGTGTAAAGAGTGGTCTGCATTGCCAAGATCTGCCATTGCCAACAAACCTGCTTCCATTTGTAAAATCCCATCTGAGGCCCAGTCCCCTTGGCCTCAACATAAGAGTACCCAGCTGCGTGAGTCCTCCACTTGTGGATTGTCTGTGTCCTCCCTCCCTAGGCAATACTGTGCTCTCTATATCCTCTCAATTTACTTTCTCCTAAATGGAAACAGACTTTTTTGTCCTTTCAAAGCACCAATCTGCTCTAGGTTAGAGTAGCTAATAATTAACAGTTACTAGTTTACACCCCTCACCAGGTAATATAATTCTATATTATTTGGTTGGGAATTTTTAAAACTTTTTATTATGCACAATTGCAAACATATACAAAACTAGAGAGAAAAATACAGTGAATCCCATGTCCAAGTCACCAACTTCAACAATAAACATAGGCCAATCTTGTTTCATCTCTATTCTTGCCCCACCCGATGATTTTGAAACAGATACTGGATATTATATCATTTCATCTGTAAAATATTTCAGTATGTATCTCTAGACAATAAAGACTTTTTTTTAAAGAAAGCATCCCCTCCATACCAGTCATTCCTAAATAACAGCAATAATTCCTTAATACCTTCAAATACTCAGTCATTGTTCAAATTTCTCAGTGGGTGGTGATTTATTGTTTGAATAAGGCCCATGCACTGTAATTTGTTGATAAATCTCTTTAATCTCCTTTAACTGAAAGCAGTGGTTCTCACAGTTACATCGGAAAAACCTGTTAGAAGATAGAATACTGGATCGTTTGTCCTCTATCATGTCTTACAATCTGTATTTTCCTAAGTGCATCTCTGTAGTGTCTTTGCCCCAGTTCTTCTCTATCATCAGCTATATCTAGAGATTTCACCAAATCTCTAGTGGCCTCTTTTTTCTGATGTCAGCAGTCATTGATGATTATTACCTAGATCATTACTTCTTTAAGGGGTTGCAAATAATTTTAGTGTCATTGGTTCTTCTTCATTTATTAGCTAGCATACTTTATAAACTTGCTTTCATCAATTGTTTGGTTACACTGAGGTCTGGTTTGTATAGGAAAGGCGGGAGAAAGTCTTGACTTTCCAACCCCTTTGCTGGTTCCAAATGAGGTAGTATCCTGAAAGAACCTTTTCAACATGTCCAGGGAATATTGTTTTCTTCTTTGAGTAATCTATTGCAATATTATCCTTATTTTTGCTATCTTTGGCTCTTAGAAACTCCCTAAGAATCAAGCTGGCTGATTCCTTTTGACAGATCCCTACTGGTCTTTGACAGGTATGTGGATGTCTCATATAACAAAATGTCTCAGATCTTTATTTTCTATGTCTCATCCTTTAGGTCAGCCATTTTCTTCCCAAGGATCACACATCTTTCCATGTAGAATAGAGATAAAAATCTGAGTGCTAGGAGTACTCATTGGAACTGACTAGTCATTGTTTCTTGGTTTTAGTGGACAGAGTCCCCAGCCATGGACTCTTCCTGGCTAGGGTGGTCGGACTTCTGATGTGTTGCTCAGGGTTCCTAGTATAAGTGTTCCAGAAAAGGCATGGCCTTTTTGACCCAGCCCTGGAAATCACATAGGGTCACCTCCCCCATATTCTTTTGGTTGAAGTAGTCACAAGCAGCTGAGTCAGGGGAAATGTACTTGGACCAGTGAATCCTCAATGGGGGAAACCTCACATGTACATGTGAATATCATGTGTAGGAAGGCATGTTACATGCCTAGTTTATACACAGGAAGCCATCCAGTACTCTGACTCACACATGCCTAACTTATCTCTGGTGACTGTCCTTTATTTCTGTCCTTGGAGAATTCTTGAATGACTTGAGCAGAACACATCATCCCCATCTGAGCTGTTTCATGGTTTATTCTCTACCACTTCAAAGCTTAAACATGTTTTAAAAATCCTTTTTACTCTTTCACCCAAAGATCCACCATTTTTCATATGGTTGGGAAAGAAAAATAGTGCCCCTTTAATGTTCTAATATTTTATTATTACTGAAGACTTTTTATGTTCCTGATTCTTGCAGAAAATACAGCCTCAACAAGACAGGCATTAAACACCCTTGAGCTGTTTCCAGAATATCAAGAACAATTTAAGACAAGGGATGTGAGAGAAGCTGAGACTAAAAAAGGGTGGAGTGAGGTGTGTCCTTGCCTGATGTTCACTAAAGCTGCCCCTGGCAAGAGGAATGTGGGGGAAGCCTCAAAGGCAACAGTGAAGGCCAGCAAGGAGACTGAGACCTAAGGGTATTATTGGCATCCTGAATCCCAATTTCCCATACCTTGATTTGACCTGAAAGGTTCTGAACAAGAGACCCTTCTAATTCATGGTTGGGTTCAGACCCTAGCTAATTCATGGACCTTCATGGAGCTCCCGCCCACAGCTTTTTACACCTGTGGTATTCCTGCTGGGATTTAACATGTGGGCGCCAGCAGTGTCTTCCCAGTTTAGTGTCAGCTCGCCCTACTTACTACTCCCCTTTTACCCAGAAGGGTACCCCCTTCTTTGTTTTGCATTTCAGTCTCCAAATGGAAAGGTCTGTACATCCCATTTCGAAAGTCAAGACCATCTCCCCCTGCTTTTTCCTGACACAGATTTAGCTGTAGGGCACGTCCCGGAGAACACAGTCCTGCAGAGCTGGCAGGTTAGAACGGCAGGAGCCAGGGGAGGCCGCACAGGTTTCTGTTTCCTGAGGGGCTGCTCACATGGTCTCCCCAGCTTGGGGAGAACATAGATCCCTTCACAGCTGCATAAGGACAGGCATTCAGTCTCAGACAATCAGGAATTCACTAGGACCAGGTTTTCCTCCTTCGTGGGCTGAAATGACTGTTTTATGTACATTTGGCTAAAACAGGGCATTTCTATTGATTCCGCGTTTGCCTGACTTCAGCTACACAAGGAAGTTTAAATTGGCTTGAGTCTGTGGGCATACGGAAAGCTGAAAAGAGCTGGTGTGTCAGCAGATATGGGACTGAATCAAATTTGTTCAGGAAGTTCAAGATTAAAATCCAGTTTATATTATTATGTAACAAACATACCTGCCAAGCAACACATCCAGGCAAATAAATTTGAAATATTTTTCATAGAATACAGCTGGTACACAAAATTTGTATTTATTTAAGACTTATGTGAATGTTAAATAAGACTGCTTCTGTGGAATCCCTTAAAAGGATAGTTGTAAAATCTGGAGCAGGGGTAAAAGTCCCAAATACTAAGGAACAAGGAGCATCCTGCCAGGAAGATGAGCCCCTGGACAGCCAGAGAGGGAAGGATTCTGAGATAAAAGGACTAGTAGATGGCACAGTCTTCTTACCAGTGATAAATAAATATTTCTAAAGTACAAATATGAATGCAAAAAAAAAATGTAGCGTGATATCAATACATTTGAATGAAACAGAAATTTCTTTTTCTTTTTTTTTTGTGGGACTCTCGCAGGCAGCCGGGGAACAAACCGGCGCTGCAGAGGCTGGAGGCAGCCTCGCAGCCCAGCACTCAACCCCTGCGCCACCAGGGGAGGCCCTGAACCAGAAATTTCTGTCTGGAATAGCAGATTAAAGATCTCTGAAAGTCCACTAAAGACATGAGACCAATAGCTAAAAAGTCTAACTTTTTGGGTCTCCCCAGTGGCACAGCGGGTTGAGCTCAGCGCTGTGAAGTTGTCCGCAGCCTCTGCAGTGCGGGTTTGATTCCCGGCCGGCCAGGGAGATTCCCACATGGCGCGGCAGACCTCTCCTGTCTTGCCCACTGCTCCCCTCAGCAGTGTACTTCGATTCTTCTACCTGTTCTGCTCCCTGCTCTGTCTCTCACCCTCCTGTGCCTCTGGCCTGTACCCCAGTGCTTGTATAAATAAATAAATCTTTAAATATAATAAAAAAAAGGTCCAACTTTTCTTCAGAACCCTGGAAATTAAAGGCTTACAACAATTCAAAAAGAATTTACTGAAGAAAAACAATGGAATGTTGGTAAAATGCCTTGAGTATTTCAATTTACTCTAATTCTCAATTTCTCCCCAGCTCCAAAGCAGCCCTGAAGATCAACAGGCCTATAATCACAATCACTGAAAACCAGTACCCTAGTAGTCACCACAGTGGGCAAACAGATTTGGAACTCTTCAAATGCCCCATTCCCCACTTGCAGTTGTCACTTGTTGATCTATGACAGGTCTTGAAAAGCTACATTCTCAGGGCCCGTCATCATTTGGTCAGCCTCCGAAGCAATGAGCACATCCAGCATCCAGATCTTGGATTGCAAGTACTATTCTCAGTTAAAAGGAATCTGGGCTCGTAAAAATATGGTCAAATTGACTGAGGTGAAAATATACAAAATGAGCCTCGATCAACCCTTCCCAGTTCATTCAGGCTGTTGGCAGAATTCAGTAACTCGTGATTGTAAGGCTAAAATTCCCATTTCTGCCATGTCACTGGAGTTGCTCTCAGCTCTGGACACATGGTCGCTTTTTCCTCCAAAGTTAGCAGGACCTCTCTCATGTTCCGATCTTTGACTTCAGGAGGGCTGGTCTCTCTTACAGGTTTACCAGATTAGTTCAGATGCACCTGGGATCATCTCCCTTTTGCTTAAATTAAAACCAACCTCTGAGACATTAATTACACCAAAGGTAAAAATCTCTTCATTTCAGACATAATATAAACTAATCCTGAGAGTAAAGTCCATCATAGTCATTCAGGATACTCGGTAATGCCACACTCAACGGGAGGGAATGGTACAGGTAGTGTATATCAGAGGCAAGGAATCTTAAGAGTCATCAGGAAATTCTGACTACCACAAGTGGGGGAAAGAGACTGGGAACCTCTCTTCTTCATAAAAAAATCTTTGTTTTCATAACTCACTAATTCATAAAAAATTCATAAATTTTAATTTCAAATAAATGGTTACTATATACATGTATAACTCCAGTTAAAAATTACATTCAAATCTAAATATGTGACTAACTTAGTAAGGTCCACCACTTTTTATGTTTTACCAAGAAAAAAAAAAGTGATATTCTCTCAATTATAAAATATATTCCAATTTCAGAGATGTTAGCTATGAAAATAAATATGTATCTGAAAATGACATATAATAAAATGTCCTCTTTTTAACTTTCTATTTTTTTTTTTTTAAGATTTATTTATTTATTTACACAAGCACTGGGTACAGTCAGAAGCACAGGAGAGTGAGAGAATTCACCAGAGCCAGAGCGGGGAACAGAACAGGCAGACTGACAAAATACACTGCTGAGGGGAGCAGCGGGCACAGTAGGAGAGGTCTGCTGCGCCATGTGGGACCCTCGCCGGTGGCCGGGGATGATCCGGCGCTGCAGAGGCTGCAGGCAGCTTCACAGCCCAGTGCTCAACTGCTGCGCCAGCAGGGAGGCCCTTAAGTTTCTATTTTTAAAAAATGTAAAGGAGTGCTCCAAATTTCACAGGAATCAACACCAGCCTGAGGGGAGTGGGGCATCAGCCATGCCTTCCAACGCAACACATGCTCAAAACCTTCCAAATAAATCTATTTCTTCCTAGTTTTTGCCCCAGTTTTGTCATAAAAACAGCCTTCCCCATTGTCATGCTTCCTCCTTTCTAATACCCACTTCTTACTGTGCTGTCTGCAGGTGCCAAGACTGAAGGTAATCTTCATGAAGAGGGTGGTTGGGGTGAAAAGTGGACTTTGGTTAGATCAATGTAGGCCTACGTCTTGGCTCATAATTTTTTAGCTTATTATCTGCTTGTGTTTGGCTGCAAGTAATAGAACTCAAGTCAAAATGACTTAAAGCAGTCCAGAAAATACATTATTTCATGTGTCACAACATGAAATCTGAAAAGTATGTCCTCTAAAGTTGGTGAATTCCATGGCTGATTTGTTACCAAGGACCTAGTTTCTTCCCAACTTTCTTCTCTGTCATTTTCTCCATCAGGAAAAAATAGAAAATGCTGGTCTGTTTTCATTTTTTCCTAGAACCTGTCAGATAAACTTTTGCTTGGAGTATATGCAATATGACCATAATAAATTTGTTTCATATTTCAAGTAGGACTTTGCTAAGGAGCATCACCAAATTTCGCATACTCTGTGCCACGTTTACAGCAAGTTAGTGATGCTACTGTATTATTTTCCCAGTAGTAAAACAATATGATAATAGTTTGTTTTGTGGTATTTTTCTAATAATTATATAAAAATGCAAATTTAGAATCTCATTACTTATAATTGGAAAATTCTGTACTTGAATACTGTGTTAAATACTTCCTCATATTCCAAAAATTTATATTATACCCACACATATAATCTAACTTTTGTTTATGAATCAATAAGAAAGATAACCATTCTTTTTTTCTTGAAAACAAAAAAGGTAAGAACTTCAAGTTTAGGAGTAGTATAACAAGAGACATTGTTCCTCTTTATTTATAATGGTAGAAAATTAGAAACAAAATTTAATGTCCAAAACAGGAATTTTTTTTTTTTTAAATCATAGAACCATATTTTAAGTCATAAAACAGAATTGTGAGCAACTATTAAAAATATGTTGTGGAAGTACTTAATGACATTAAATATTCATCATCTATCTACTATTTAGTGTTTTCCTAGAGAAACACCTTACAGTTTGCTCTCTTCAAATCTCTGGACACCTATCCTCCCATCTGTACTCAGTCTAATTTTGATTCTTATTAAGAAAACTCAATCAGAAGAGACTTCTGCAATTACTACACAACATTTACCCATTAGCCGGTATCTCTGTCATATATGTTCTTCTTTTGTTCCAATGGCTAGAACGGGGTGAAGACCCCCTTCACTGATGCACTAAGTCTCTTCACTCCATCCATTAAGAAGTGCATGACCAAAGGAGGATCCCACATGGCGCGCAGACCTCTCCTGCCGCCCGCTGCTCCCCTCAGCAGTGTGCTTCGGTCCTTCTGCCTGCTCTGCTCCCCACTCTGGCTCTGGTGAATTCTCTCACCCTCCTGCGCTTCTGACTGTACCCAGTGCATGTATAAACAAAACAAACAAACAAATAAAATAAATAAATAAAACATGCCTCTATTTAAAAAAAAAAAAAAAAAAAAAGAAGTGCATGCCATCACAATGACACAAGAGGGCGCTTTAAATAAGGAATCTCAAACCACTCCATCAGTCTTGAACTGTCTTTAACAGGTGGACATAAGCACTCTTCATTCAATCAAAGCTACAAAAGAAAACACAATACAAAAACAAGTTAGCTGGTAAAAATTGCCATCTTAGTCACCTCTGCTTACTCCCCCGCAAAAAAGAGCCAGAAAAAATTAACACAAAAGTCCAAACTGAATTAAATATTCCTACTTTAGGAATATGAAAATATATCTTGAATTGAAATTCAAAATCTAAGACCAGAACTGAACAAAAAAATGGACATAGTAAAACAAGAGTTGACTGACCTCAGAAATGATACAAGAGAAAGTCATTATCAAAATTTTCTGATGTTAAATCCAAAAATTCTGATTTTTTTTCTCCATTAAGAAATAAGACACGGGGGCTTCCCCGGTGGCGCAGCGGTTGAGCGCTGGGTTGAGAAGCTGCCCGCGGCCTCTGCGGCGCCGGTTCGATCCCCGGCTGCTTCCCGGCCACCGGAGGAGGGTCCCACATGGCGCGCAGACCTCTCCTGCCGCCCGCTGCTCCCCTCAGCAGTGTACTTCGGTCCTTCTGCCTGCTCTGCTCCCCGCTCTGGCTCTGGTGAATTCTCTCACCCTCCCGCGCTTCTGACTGTGCCCCAGTGCTTGTATAAATAAATAAATAAATCTTTAAAAAAAAAAAAAAAAAAAGAAATAAGACACTTGGGGGCCTCCCTGGTGGCGCAAGGGGTTAAGTCTCAGCACTATGAAGCTATCAGCAGCCATTGCAGCATGAGTTCTGATCTCTGGCTATCCCACATGGCGCAGCACACTTCTGTCTAGTCCACTGCTCCCCTTAGCAGTGTATTTCAGTTAATCTGCCTGTTCTGTTCCCCACTCTGTCTCAGGTAAATCCTCTCACCACCCCACCCCCCACACCTCTGGCCTATACCACAGCTCTTGTATGCATAAATAAATAATTTTTTTTTAAAAAAAAAAGAAATGCCACTTATTTCCATAGAGTATATTTAAAGGATTTCCAGCTTCCCGTATTTAATTTTGAGTCTAAATTATGTATTAGTCTTATAAATTATGTATTAATCTTATAAAACTTTCTATCGCTACATGTAATCACTTATTTACTTACACCATGAAAAAAAAGTGAGAAAGTTAAGATTGTAAATGACTTTATAACATGAATATAATATAAAATTTTAATATTTTGTCAAAACCCAAAAGCTTATGTTACTAAAAACTCTTGTTTTGGGCCTCCCCGGTGGCGCAGCGGTTGAGCGCTGGGTTGCGAAGCTGCCCGCGGCCTCCGTGGCGCCGGTTTGATCCCCGGCTGCTCCCTGGCCACCGGAGGAGGGTCCCACATGGCGCGCAGACCTCTCCTGCCGCCCGCTGCTCCCCTCAGCAGTGTACTTCGGTCCTTCTGCCTGTTCTGCTCCCCGCTCTGGCTCTGGTGAATTCTCTCGCCCTCCCGCGCTTCTGACTGTACCCAGTGCATGTATAAACAAAAACAAACAAATAAATAAATAAAAACATGCCTCTATTAAAAAAAAAAAAAAAAAAACTCTTGTTTTGGTAAATTGAAAAAATCATTTTCAAAAATGAAGACTATATTGCAAGAATAGGTTTGAATGAGAACTTAAGTGTTACTGAACAAAAGTGGAAAAAGCAAAACAGAATAAAAGTGGAATGAAGAAAATGTATTAAAGAGAAAAAAGTTACAGAGAGGGAAAATATACCAATACAATATACACAGCAACTATGACAGAGGCTAAACCAAACCTTCTCTCATTTCAATAAATGTGAATGGGCTTTAATTCATTTAGCAAATGAAAAGTACTTCTGGTTTAACTCAGAGCAAAACCCAACTACATGCTGGTACAAAAAAAAAAAAAAAAAACCCTAAAATTTACTCAGAAAAACTAAAAGTAAAGTGATGGGCAAATGAATATTAAAAGCAAGGGCAAATAAATTCCAACTGCAAGGGAGACTGAAAGGACATCAAGGAACTTTTTGTACTATAACATAAAGATCCATTAGCTCTACATTATAGGTTAGATAGATATCTCAGGCATGTATAATTTTGTAACTCCTTGGAAAATATTTTTCAAGCTCACAGAGGCAAATCAAATGTTGGGATTTTGATATGGAGTACACTGAATTTATAGAGAACTGCCATATTAACATTGAATCCTCTGACATGAACATGAAATGTATCTCCATTTATTTAGATTTTTAATTTCAGAGTTTTGTAGTTTTCAGTGTACAAATAAATGTAAACAGGTTTTGGGGTTTTTTTTTTTTTTTTGCAAAAATTTAAAAGCTGCTTCTAGGGCCTCCCTGGTGGCGCAGCGGTTGAGCGCTGGGTTGCGAAGCTGCTGGCGACCTCTGCGGCGCTGGTTCGATCCCCGGCTGCTCCCCAGCCACCAGAGGAGGGTCCCACATGGCGCGCAGACCTCTCCTGCCGCCCGCTGCTCCCCTCAGCAGTGTACTTCGGTCCTTCTGCCTGCTCTGCTCTCTGCTCTGGCTCTAGTGAATTCTCTCACCCTCCCGCGCTTCTGACTGTACCCAGTGCATGTATAAACAAAGAAACAAACAAATAAATAAATAAAAAACATGCCTCTATTAAAAAAAAAAAAAAAAAACTTCCAAAAAAAAAAAAATAAAAAAATAAAAGCTGCTTCTAAAATTTGCATGGAAAATCAAGACACAGAATAGCCAAAACAATCTTTGAAAAGAGCAAAACTGGGTAGTTTATACTTGATTATAAAGCTATAGTAATCAAGATATTATAAAAGAAAAAAACTGCACAAGTGCATAAAAGGACAGACACATAGATCAATGGACAGACACATAGATCAATTTTCTGGACTCAGAAATAAATCCTTACATTTACAGTCAATTGATTTTTGACAAAGGTGTCAGGGCAACTCAATGCACAAAGGATAGTCTTTTTTTAAAACAGTGCAGGGACAACTGGATATTTATATATAAAAACTTAGATCATTAACTATACTATACCCCAAATTAATTCAAAATGAATTAGACATAAAAGCTAGAACTAAAAATCTTAGAAAAGAACGTAAGAGCAAGCCTTGTGACCTTGTGTTAAGCAAAGAATTCTTAGATACAATATCCAGAGCGTGATTCATCAAAGAAAAAAGGCAGCAGCTCTCCTGCATGCCTGTGACTATGCTGGGGACTCACCCGCTGTTCCCCTCAGCAGCATATTTCAAGTCAGTCTGTCTGTTCTGCTCCCCAGTCCATCTCTGGTGTATCCTGTCACCCTCCACACCTCTGGTCTACACCCTAGTTCTTGTATGCATAAATAAATAAATCTTTTCAAAAATTTGCAAATCAGCGCCTCCCTGGTGGCACAGGCGGTTGAGCGACGTGCTGTGAAGCTGTCCGCAGCCTGTGCAGTGCCGGTTCGATCCCCGCCGGCCTTGGAGCAACCCACATGGTGAGCAGACCTCTCCTGTCTCGCCCGCTGCTCCCCTCAGCAGTGTATTTCATCAGTCTGCCTGTTCTATTCCCCACTCTGCCTCTGGTGGATCCTCTCACCCTCCTGAGCCTCTGGCCTGTACCCCGGCTCTTATATAAATAAAATAAATCTTAAAAAAAAAAAATTTGCAAATCATACACCTGATAAAGTACTTATATCCAACATATATAAAGAACTCTTATAACTCAATAGTAAGAAGACAATGCAGTTAAAAAAGGGACATAGATCTGATTTGACCAATGACACATGACAAGATGCTCAACATTATTAGTCATGAGAACAATGCAAAGACAAAAAACACAGAACCTACCAAAAAAATAATTAACTGCTCATTGATACAACTCAAAAAGAACAAAAGATAACTCACAAAATAGGATAAGACATGTCACAAATACCTCACAAAGGATTAAATTAGGAATATATAAAATCAGCTTATTATGGACAATTGGCCCAACTGAAACATGGGCAAAAGATATTCACAGATGTGATGTCACCAAAGATTAACCTCAAAAGCTAGTAAGCATAGGGCCTCTCAGGTGGCGCAGCGGCTAAGCGCTGGGTTGCGAAGCTGCCCGCAGCCTCTGCAGCGCCGGTTCGATCCCCAGCTGCTCCCCAGCCACCGGAGGAGGGTCCCATGTGGCTCGCAGGCCTCTCCTGCTGCCCGCTGCTCCCCTCAGCAGTGTATTTCAGTCCTTCTGCCTACTCTGCTCCCTGCTCTGGCTCTGGTGAATTCTCTCACCCTCCCGCGCTTCTGACTGTACCCAGTGCTTGTAAATAAATAAATAAATAAATCTTAAAAAAAAAAAAAGCTCGGAAAAAAAAAAAAGCTCGGGCCTCCCCGGTGGCGCAGCGGTTGAACGCTGGGTTGCGAAGCTGTCCGCAGTCTCCGCGGCGCCGGTTTGATCCCCGGCTGCTCCCCGGCCACCAGAGGAGGGTCCCACATGGCGCGCAGACCTCTCCTGCCGCCCGCTGCTCCCCTCAGCAGTGTACTTCGGTCCTTCTGCCTGCTCTGCTCCCCGCTCTGGCTCTGGTGATTTCTCTCACCCTCCCGCGCTTCTGACTGTACCCAGTGCATGTATAAACAAAACAAACAAACAAGCAAATAAATAAACATGCCTCTATTAAAAAAAAAAAAAATTAAAAAAAAAAACTCAAAAAAAAAGCTAGTAAGCATAATAAAAGATGCTAAATCATGAAAATAAAGCTATGATACACCTTTTTTATGCCCTCTAAGTTAGTAAAAAAATTTAAAGTCCTGACAATCAAAACATGGACAAGTGCGGAACAATAGGCATTCCTTTACATAGTTGGTGTGAGTATAAATTGTTATAACTACTGTAGAAAAGATGTGGTTTAAGATAAACCACTATTCTGCTACTTGATATATACCCAGGACAACTCACACCCATGTGTATCTTATAAAATCTAGATTATTTATAAGAATTTGTATTTCAAAAATTGAAAATAATAATCAGAAACAAATTGTAACATATTCAAAGAATAAAATGTCATAGGGAATAAAAATGAATGAATGAAGATACATGCATCTACATGAATGACTTAAAAGCATAATGTTTAGTGAAAACAGCAAGGTAGGGCCTCCCTGGTGGCGCAGCGGTTGAGCGCTGAGTTGCGAAGCTGCCCGTGGCCTCTGCAGCGCCGGTTCGATCCCCAGCTACTCCCCGGCCACCGGAGGAGGGTCCCACATGGCGCACAGACCTCTCCTGCCACCCGCTGCTCCCCTCAGCAGTGTACTTCGGTCCTTCTGCCTGCTCTGCTCCCCGCTCTGGCTCTGGTGAAGTCTCTCACCCTCCCACGCTTCTGACTGTACCCAGTGCTTGTATAAACAAACAAAACAAATAAATGAATAAAACATGCCTCTATTAAAAAAAAAAAGTGTTAAAAAAAAAAAGAAAACAGCAAGGTAGCAATTAAGACACAAATATGATACTCTTTAAATAAAATCCAAATCCAGGGCCTCCCCTGTGGCGCAGTGGTTGAGCGCTGGGTTGCGAAGCTGCCCGCAGCCTCTGCAGTGCCGGTTCGATCCCCGGCTGCTCCCCGGCCACTGGAGGAGGGTCCCACATGGCGCGCAGACCTCTCCTGCCGCCCGCTGCTCCCCCCAGCAGTGTGCTTTGGTCCTTCTGCCTGCTCTGCTCCCCGCTCTGGCTCTGGTGAATTCTCTCACCCTCCTGCGTTTCTGACTGTACCCAGTGCTTGTATAAATAAACAAACAAATAAATCTTTAAAAAAAAAAAATAAATAAAAAAAAAAATAAAATCCAAATCCAAAACAAAACTAAATATACCATTTAGCAAATCACACACATTCGGCAGGTCTATTAAGAAACAAAAGAGGGGCCTCCCCGGTGGCACAGCAGTTGAGCTATGGGTTGCAAGGCTGCCCTCAGCCTCTGCAGGGCCGGTTAGATCCCTGGCCGCAGGGCGAGGGTCCCACATGGCGCGCAGACCTCTCCTGCTGCCCACTGCTCCCCTCAGCAGTGTACCTCGGTCCTTCTGCCTGTTCTGCTCCCTGCTCTGGTGAATTATCTCACCCTCCCGCACTTCTGACTATACCCAGTTCTTGTATAAATAAATAAATAAATCTTTAAAAAAAAATTGTTCTTAAAAAAAAAGAAACAAAAGAGAATAAAAACATAAAAGATAGTTACAAATGCAGAAAAAGAAGCAGGTCCATGGAAACCTACATATATCTATGTATATGTATCAAATATTTCACAATTTTTTAATGAGAAAGGAGAAAAAGACTATTGGGAAAACGGAAAAAGCCCTAATGTTTCTATACCAACTTCTAGAGATGGTTCAGTGTTAAATTCTAATTTTACCTTTTTTTATATATTTTATTTTCATGATGACTTCTTGTCAGTATCCAAAACCTAATATGAAAAAAAAATCATTTTTATGCATTAATGGTTAATTCAGGTAACTAATCATACTCTTGTAATTTTCTAATGATTACAATAATATTCATCCTAATAATGACATAATATTTGTATAAAAGGAAGTGAAAAATTAATTTTAATGTCATTTTTTTAATCTGTATTTCACACTACCAGTAAATCAAATATTTGGCATAACTTCTAATTCCAGGGTAACCCTTCATATCTTACAACCTAAAAATATAGACTCAAGGGAACACTTGCCACAGATATGGTTTAGTTTTAAAAGAATGTTTTATTTTTCACTTATATTTCAATTTACTTTTGAAGAGAGCAGCTTCCAATGATGTGGGAAATGAAAAGAGTATAAATGATTATTTTTTGGTTACCTTTTCTTACAAAGAATATTTGAAGAAAACATTTTGAAATAACTATTTGAGCTTTGTTAGATATAACTCTAAAGTATCTGTCAACCAATGATCCTTAACTTTCCTTCTAAGAGTGTAACAGGAGAACTATTTCTATTTATTTTGTTTTTCCTTTGTTGTGCTTAGTTTTTAAAGTTGCTGACTCCCATTAAAGTTTTAAGAACATTCCAGTTTGTACCAGCAATGAGTATAAAATTTCCCTTAAGCTATATGGAAAAATATACAAATTAATAATTCTCTAAACATAAGAAAATTCTTAGATTATCAGTCCTAAGATACTCCAATTGCTAATCAAAGAGGCATTGTCCTTAAAAAACAATATCTTTTCAAATTCTCGCCCTAAGTTCAGTCTTTCAAAAAAGGAAAACAAAATGTTATTAAGTGTACTTACTTTAGCCAATAGTTCTTGTGTTTCAGCAGTCAGTGGATCATGAGAAAATTTGCAATAATCTCCTTGATAACATTTTGTTCCTGTATGATAAAACTTGCAAGGATATTCATGTAACCGAAATGTTAAGGAGAACAATTTTAATCAAATAAAATAACTTATTAAAACTTAATTACTTTATTTTTCATATCTATTTAAAGGACTTTACTACTAGTAGAAACATTGAATTCACTATTTAAAAAATGAGATAATAAAGATGAAATGGGTTACATTGAAGGATGATTATATAAATCAAGTATATTGGTTTTTACAGAACTCTTCTTTCATATCCACTCTTATAATATACTATAAATATTTCACTGGTGTAAGGAAGGGGTATAAAACACCTTAAGAAATGTATTTTTAAAGCTTTCTTTTGGGATGAGGGAATTAAAGCCAATGACAATAATATGAGTTCAAGTTTGGATTCTTCATATACTTAGGCTTGCTTACAACAGGATCCACTTATACAACTTCAATATTTTTTTTAGGAAAAAATTCTTAAGTTAGAATTTGAGATTCCTAGTATTGAATAAATAAAGGAAAACAGCTTTTGTGGTGACCAAAGATGCTATTACCCTAAAACATTTACGTTTCATGTTATGACAACATGTCGATATATTTGCACTGAAGTGCTAGGGTTATTCCTCAAATTAAGGGACAATTAACTTCCATACAGTGCAGAATTTTCAAATTATACAATCCCAGCCTCTTTTTATGAAGTAGCTTATATGAATACAGATTCTATTAGTGAATATCATAGCACAAATTCTGACATAGTCTTTCTGGGACTTGACAAAGTCCCATGAACCTGCTATCCTATTCAGGTCAAGCAGAAAGGATCTTTATTTGAGAGAATTTTTAAAGAATTCCTCTTTTCCTTCAGGGCAATGGGGGTGTCGGGACATAATTTCATCACTTTGATACTGAGTTGGGCTTAGATAATATGATTTTGCCACAGCTAAAACATTGGTTTTACTAACAATTTTTTTTATTTAAATGTTTTTAAAAAGTAAATATGTATTTAAAAAGTAAATATTAAGAGCAGAATTATTATGTTTTTTGACAAAGGATATTATGCAAATACAGGCAGTTTTCACCTCTGGTACAATATCCTTGTACATAAAACTTACACATTTCCTTCTTCTTCTCTATCTCTGCATCATGATCAAATTTACACTGGTCTCCCTGAATCAAAAGAAAGAAAAGTCATTATTTCTCAAGGTTTAAATCATCACTAATTCCTTTAAATAAAGTAAGCAAATAACTGTGGAAAAAAATGAGTTTTAGAGCTGTATGGCCTAATTCTTAACATGTTATAACCACAGCACATATATCTGCTCTAAATTTTGTTAAGTTCTAAACATTTTTAACACAAATCTTTTTTTTAATTATCTACTTTCTCAAACATAAAAGAACACTTCATTAAAATTTTCTAATGGAAACTTTCTCAGAAGAAAACAGTTTCAAAATGTAGAAGTATGCTTCCAGAATGTCTAAGGGAAACGAGTTGGTTTTAGTACATTTTTACTACACCTGACATTTCAGCATAATTTTGCTTACACATTTTTGTACCTTAATACATTTCCTTTCAAGGAAATATTTACAAATTTGTTTTCCCTTGCGTTCCACTGTATGTTGGTTGATGAATTCCTGACTCATTCTCACATGCTGCTGCTTTTCATTAGGTTTACCATCCTTTAAAAACAAAAACAAAAAGCTCAATATGAGAAACATAAAATTAAACATTTTGCCATTACACAAAATTATTTTAAGCCACCTTTAAAGCATTGAAAAGTGACTTCACATTGATCTTCATGTGTAAGATCTGGACTTTTGTACATCAGTTGGAATCATTTTCAACAGCATTCCATCACTGAACGTTGGTGTCTGTGCTACTTGAATCCTTTATTGTACTTTGCCTTTATGATTTTAATGGATAAAAAAATTAACGTGCTACTACTCATGATGGAAAGTGAAGCCTAAGAACAGGTTCCTTAGAATAGTAGAGTCAAAACTGAAAATCATAAGGTAAGCCAAAAAATCTATAATCTTTAGCTTTAATGATATGCTCACGGGTTGAACTGAGCATACCGGCCAATTATATATTCTGACAAACATAACTAGAAAAAACCCTCAAGATGGCAATAAAGGTATAAAAAGGAGAATTTCATAATATATTTTAGCTCTTTAGAAACACAAATTACTTTTAGAGTGTTAAATTGTGGTACTGCTTAGTTTCTACACAGCAAATGGCTGAATACAGTTTTAGGACTACAGTAATTACAGAACAAGCAAAGAAGGGGGCTGACATTTACCCAGTTTGCAATAATGTCAAATTTCCAGTTATCATTATCACAACTATATGTCTTATAAATATGTGTCAGTTTAAACCTTTGGTTCTATTTGATTATGTTATTTATTACATTAGCATCTACAGAGCTATTCAATAGATTTTTATATAAATATTTCTATCTACAATATTTGGTATTACTAATATTTTACCACCCTTAACTCTCGTCTCCTGTGACCAAGCCTAATAAAAAAGTTGCCATCTAGTTTGAAAGCCCTCAGAAAAGCAGGATCCAGAGGAGCTGTTTACTATCACATCTTGAATACATCTAAAGACCAAGAAGGAGGACTGCTACAAAGTAAAATCAAAATATCAGGAGAATAAGGAGTAGTTGGTAAGGCTAATGCTAAGAAATACTAATTTTTCACTTCTAGAGGGAATGAGGAAGTAGTAAACCACGGACTGAAATCACAGAAATTTTGTAAGATTGTGCCCTTTGAAATGTCCTCATGGCTATTTTATCTTCTCCCTGCTTCTCGTATGTTTTCCCATTATCACTGACAGTACAACATTCCAAAACCAAGAGGCTTTGGTGTGATTGAAGGGCAATAGGCAGAACACTCAGAATTACAATGGGTGTTGGCAGCTAATGAGTGAAAAGGAAGAACATGGAGACCCCACTGATGGTAAGAGATTTTTACTACTAGATAACCCTCATTTTGGGGATGTCCCAACCTTTCAAGATTAAATAATACTTCCTGTCACTGAGGTATAAGATAAAAATCCAAGAGCATGTAGGCATCCCCTCACATGCATGTACCTGTTCCTGTGAACCACTGTTCTTCAGTAAAGCATTTGATCCTTTGTCCCCAGTGCCAGGCCATTTTCGCTTCATTTTCTTCTGTTTACCATTCTTGTGAATAGCTTTAAGGCTTTTATTTTTTTGTTTAACAGCTGAAAACAAGAAAATTAACTTTAAAGATGACATGAAGTGAAATAGGCAGTTTACTCCTAAGAAGTATATTCTATAATAATGCAGGAAAAGCTCTCCACAATTCAGTAAGTGAAAACTGGTATGATGCCCACCTATCATTCTAGAAGCTCTGTGATTAAGAGATCAAAATGATAATGAATATATTTGGGATCCCTGACTCATTCTTTATGAAAATATATAAGATATTACTGGGGAGGAAGCAGGGGAACAGACGAAGCAAGGTAAATTAATCAAATATACCTTGCTAGCCATAAGTCATATCTTTTTTCAAGTGCTCAGAGTAAGACCTAATTAGGGACTTCATAGCACTATAACAGTAGAGCTTCAAGTAAAATAAACTCATATGTAATTGTCAGGTTTTTCATTAAAGTTTTTTATATAGGGCCTCCCTGGTGGCACAAGGGGTTAAGTCAGCATTATCAAGCTATCAGCTGCCACTGCTCAGAATGAGTTAGATCCCCGTCAGGGAGCTAACCCACATGGCACAGAAGACCTCTCCTGTCTCAGCCACTGCTCCCCTCACCAGAGAGAGAGTGAGGAGCGGAACAGGAAGATCTATTGAAATACACTGCTAAGGGGAGCACCAGGTGCAATGGAGAGGTCTGCTGTGCATGTGGGTTAGCTCCCTGGCTGGCCAGGGATCAAACTCATGCTGCAGTTGCTGGTGATAGCTTGATAGAGCTGTCTTGAAACCCTGTGCCACCAGGGAGTATGCCCTCTAGATAAACTTTAAATGACAAAACAGATTGACCCTTACCTTTCTGAGTATCCTTTGCAACATCTTTCTTCAGAGATTCTTCAGCACATAAAGATTGAGCAGCTTTTGCCATTTCTTTAGCTTGTATATACTGTTGAAGCTCTTTCGCAAAAGTATCTTCTGATTCCTGACTGCAGGTATCATTATCACTATATACATCATAGTCCTTACTTCTTGATTTTCTATATGACAAATTCTTTGACGATGTAGAATTTCCAAAGTGCCTAGACTAAGTAAAAATTACATTTTCAATTAGAAATCCTAGTAATATTCAAACAATCTGGCTGTATAAGACTAGAGACTAGATTGTTGATCGTTGTTGAGGTTGGCTTTCCTGAGGGTTCATATTCTCTCCACTCTCATTTATTTGCAATTTTTTAGAATTAAAAAAAAAAAACCATAGCACAACCTTCTTCTCCTTAAGGATAATTCAAGGGAAGATTATGAATTTGTATACCACATGTACTTTACTGATTTAAAAGTCTAAATCCCAAACCTTAATTATTTGATATAAGGAATTCTAACATTACAGTTTACATTTTATTTCTCCCTTTGTATCAACTATTCTTTAAATGATTTAGTTTAATAAGTCACCATTTCATAAAAGAACAAGTAAACTATAATGGCCCGACTGAAAATTCACTATCTCAAGATATTATTAGTTACCAAAGCTTATTCCTTTCCCTATAATTCAGAGCACTAGAGGCAGAGACTGTGAAAGTAATGACAACAGGAATAAAGAATTGCCCTGTTCTCTGTAATCAAATTAATTTTACTTTCAGAAGTAATTTTTTCATTCTGCTGTTGAAGCTGCTCATCCACTGGGACAGAAACTCAGGTATAGCAGCTGTTGCTGGAGCAGTCTCAGCTGATCATAGCAGACAACTTTAAGCACTTTATGTACAAAGAATTCCAAGGAATGGTCACACAGATTTCTATACTTGGCGACACAGGTTTAACAAGATATAAAATCATAACTAGCAAGTATGACACATTTCAATTAAAGAATATACTGGGAAAAAATATAGTGCCAAAGAGCTCCTATTTTGATGTCAGGAAGAAAGGACATACATATCGTAAAACTGGCTAATGATCATGCTTTGGATCCTGCTTTGGGGCCTGGTGTCTCACTTACTTTCACGTAACTGATGAAAGCAGCAAATATGAAACAAAACAAACAAATGAAAAAAGAAGAGGAATCACTATTATAAAATAGTCTAGGTAGTCCAACCTAATGGCTTACCTTTGATGGTTAAATTCACAGTCAAAAGAACCCCCAGAGAACTGATGGCAAACCTAGAAACTGAGCTTGCTCCCTGCTTAAAGAATCAAAAGGGGCTGAGGAAGGAAATTTCTTAACCTGACAACAACTTCAATGTACACCTTATCTTCATTATAGCAAGACAAAACTATCTACCAAACCAACAACTTTCAGGCCACCAAGATCCTTGTGCCCAAGTCCTCAAGAAAGAACACCTTTTTCCAAATAACTACAGAACAAACTTACAGCTTATGGACTAACAGATCAGATAATGACAAACCTCAGCCTGGCCCCCAGTTTTCAAAAAAGTTTTGCTGGAATCCAGATACACCCTTTCACTTATTTGCTATATTGTTACTTAGTAGTCGTAGAGATAACATGGCTTGCCAAGCTAAAAAGATTCACTGTCTGGTCCTTTATGAAAAAGTTGGCCCACTCCTGTGATAGATAATATGTTTACTTGATATTGGCCTTTATTTAGTGGACACAGGGAAACCCCCCCCCAAAAAAAATCACTCAATATGCAACAGTTCCCACAATATTTTGCTTAAATATTCAGAGATGAGATTCTATTCAGTGTATTTAAGTTAAAATATCAGAAGGGGCCTCCTATGGTGCAGTGGGTTGGGCGCAGCAGGTTGAGCTCAGTGCTGAGCAGCTGTCCACAGCCTCTGCAATGTGGGTTCGATTCCCAGCTGGCCAGGGAGATACCCACATGGCGCAGCAGACCTCTCCTGACTCGTCAGCTGCTCCCCTCAGCAGTGTATTTCAGTCAGTCTGCCTGTTCTGTTCCCGGCTCTGTCTCTGGTGAATCCTCTCACCCTCCCATGCCTCTGGCCTGTACCCCAGCTCTTGTATAAATAAAATTTAAAAAAAAAAAATCTTAAAATATCAGAAGGATTCACATTAGTAATTAGGTACACCCTTACTGAAGCAGACCCTTATTACTTACTAGAAGTACTAACATGTCTGATTCATTTGAAGTAAAGAGATGAGATGATTTGGCAACAAAACTCAATAATCAGCTACGATGATTTTTATTATACATTACAGATGAATGTTACTAATTGATAAAATTATTTTCAGTGGGCATTGAAACATATGAAATACAAAGATAGGACCATTGCATGTCATAAGATGAGGTCATTAAGGTGGGCTCTAATTCATATGACTGGTATCCTTATAAAAAGAGGAAACACAAACACAGACCCAGGGAGAACACCATTCAAATATGAGTGGTAAAGATGAAAGTGAACTGAGGAACACCAGCAATTACCCACAAACCACCAGAAGCCAGGGGAGAGGCTTAGAATAGATTCTTTCTCACATGTCTCTGAAGGTACCAACCCTGCCAACACCTTGATCTTGGGTTCCTGGCCTCTATTTCTGTGAGACAAAATATTTCTATTAAACCACTCAGTTTGTGGTACTGGTTATGGTAGTTCTAGCAAAATGACAGAAGCTTTAAGCTATAAATCACTAACATTAGTTAAGTTAGCAAATCAAAACTCTCAAAAATTTTTATCTAATTTGAAAAGAAAGAAGTTTTTAAAATAGTTTACAACCCATTTCAGAAACAGGGAAAATCAAAGTAAGCAATATACTAGAAGCTAATGTTAAATGACAACAAAGTTCTCAAATAATAAAAGTTTTAAACATATAAGTAAAGGTATAAGTATCTGAGTCTTAAATGCTGACTTAAATGAGACAAACAGGATCCCTAATAAATTTCTCACATCCATTCCTTCTGGCTTTTTCAATATGCCAACGTAAGCTTACTTTTTTGGGAATTTGTTCACGCTCCAGTTTTACTTTCCATTTTACTTTCTCTTCTTGTGTTTCTTCAACTTCTGTATCATCTATTTCATCATCGATTCTGTAGCAAAAATATCAAATAACACAAAATGGTTTTCTCAACCTAAAAAGGTAGACGCCACTGCATTAAAATTCACTGCTTTGGTTTATCTCCAGCTTGTCCTCAAATAAATTCCAAATTCAAACTCTTATCCAAATACTTCAGAGAAATAATATACAAAATTATGATGAGAAGTAAACATCAACATATTTATGAGTAAACTGTAAAACTGAAATTTTAATTATATGATCATACTACTTAAGTAATAATAGCTATATAAATTAGCATGCCATTCATACAACAAAAACTGAGTATCTACCATATACCAGGCTCTGGGCCTTAAATCCTGTCACACAAAAATAAAAAAGACAGACCCTGCCTTCCAAGAACTTTCTATCTGCTTAGGAGAAGGAAATAAAGTGATTTCAATATGATGGGATAAGTGCATATATGAGGCACACTTATCCCAGAAGGGTCAAAGGTTTTCTGAAATTATAAGCTATGTAAGAGTTCACAAAGAAGAATGTAACAGAGAAGAGTATTTCAGGTAGAACATAGGATATCTTTTAAGATCAGGAATAAAGCAAACTTTTATTTAAGTGTGAAGATGAAAAAGAAAAGTTATTTTCAGACTCACAAGGACTGAAAAGCATGCATTCACATCTGAGACAAATGCTTGAGGATATTCATTCCAGCAAAACTGTAAAAGAAACCAAGAAAGATGAAGACAGGAAATATAAGTAACTGGTAAAGGAACCAATAAAATTTATAGGAAAATCAAAGTAATGGTTGAGTCTATGAATACAGGGGGCTGAGGACAACTGTATCTTAGCAAGTAGTGACTTCTGAATAAAAACTCTGGCTTAAGATGAGTTACAAGCCAGATAAAGGCAAAGATTTAGACATTAGTACTTTCTGTAAAGATCATTGCCATGGAAAAGCACTGCCAGCACCGGGATGTGAATGGTAGCTTTGTGCTTCTTTCAAATTTAAGGATCTCCAGCTTTTCAGCTTCATCCGATTCAACAGTTTTAGCACTGATCTGTCCCCAGTCATCTTCTGAGTTACATCCATCAGATGAAGTACCAAATTGTGAGTCTTCTACAGAAGACTCCGTATTAACAGCCAATACACCAAATACTATGAAGCTCTACTGTTCTAGTTTTCACTAATGAATCATCTTACAGAATATGAAGCAACCTCTCCTTAAGCAGAGCAATAATGACAATAACAGTAACAGTAGCAGCTAACACTTACATGATGCTTATTCAGGATTCTGTGCACGATTACATCCAGCACAACAATCTTATGCAATACATACTACTACTTAGAAGCCTGCTTTACAGATGAGAAAAATGAATTAGAGAGCTGTGTAACTTGTCACAGTAAAAAGTGAAGGTGAGATTTAAGCCAGGCAGGCAAAGTCAACTTCTTATTCAGCACAAGTACCTGGGTACCTACTAAACAGTCTTAACATATCTTAAACAGCAATTCCAACCTACTTTCATTTCCTCCATGGCATTTATCATCACCTAAAATGAGTTATTTATGTACTGTTTATTATGTACTATTTATTATTGCTACATCCCCAGGGCCTAGAAAAATGCCTCAAAACATAGCAGGGGCTCAAATGAGTAGTCCCATCCTAAAACCACCAGGAAAGAAAAGACCCAGAAGCTATAAAAGATTCATCTGATTGCATTTAAAGCCAACAAAAATATTTATGCATGGAAAACAATACATAGGCTGTTAAAAGGCAAATTACTAAGGGTAAAATTTTTACAGACTACAGACCTTCAAGTTAGGGAAGTTCACTACACTTCATTACCATCCTTCACCTAATATTTTGGCAAAAATCCAAAAGTATTTCTTCTGTACTTTAGTTTTTGTGAACGAATTTTCTGTCGAATACATTTTCAAACTGATAGCTATTGGGTTTGTGTTGCTATCTTTTGTGTGATGATTAACCTTTGCTTAATTCTCTTCTCTAATTCTCTTCTCTTCTGAAGATTAAGTAATATATTTCACTAAATTTGGTAGTAAAACTCTAGATGCTACCTGAATTGGGTAAAGTATTTGAATTAGAAAAAAAGTGAACAAATTTGAAATACCTAGAGGTAAAACCAACCGGAATAGGTTATGTCATGAATGAAAGAAAGAGGGAATAAAGAATGTGCATGTGGATTTCGGCCTGGAGAAACTGTGAGGGAAAGGCTAGGTTTAGGTTTCTCAGCACTTCAAACTCAGAAAACAAGTGAACGGACAGCTGTGATGTGAATGAATAAAAGTGAATGACCATGTAATGAATGAGCTACATATCTTCAAAAAAATGAGGTAAAAAAATTCGCCACATTTGGCCAGCATTCTCAATTCTATTTCCAACCTAAAGTAAACATTATATCCAAATGGTGTCTGATGCTTTACTTTTATTACATGTGGTCTTTAGGATCATCTGGTGCAAATCAGTGGATTCAAGGCAGACTACTTACTACTTGTCCTATCACCGCTTTAAAATTTTGGTCTTTCCTGCCAAAAAGAAAAATACCTAGCATCGTCTTAGTGAAAAATCTCTAGTGATCTCTCCTCTACGAGCCCACGGCCTGGTGCAAGTGCCAAGAGGCCAGAGGACCGGCTCCTACCCCGGCTAGAGGAGCGCACAAGAAAGGAAGGATCCAGGAGACCCTGCCCCATCCCGAAAGACGCCAGGACCCGCCGCTCCCTTCGCCCATGCCGGGGGCACCTCTGGCCGCGGTGACCCACTAGATGGCCCGGCTTCTCCCCGCGCCCCGGCTGCCCAACCATCCGTGCCGGCGCAGGCCAGGCTGCCGCACGCGCTCCCGCGGAAGCCGGCGGCGAGGCGGGGACAGCGCCCCCGGGGCCCGCGGGGGAACGCAGAGGCGGGCCCCGCGCTCGAAGCATGAAAAGACAAGGGATCACCTTTTCTCAGAGTCCGTGGCCGGCTTTTTGCCAAGGGCCGGGTTGGGGGGCTTAGAGAAGAGATTCTCAAAATCCATCACCCTCCCCAGGGCCAGGCGGCTCTAGAGCAACCACCGCAGCGGGAGGAGGAGGGCGGGCGCGAGCCGCTCCGCGCACGCGCCGCCCCGCCCCCCGGCCCTGCGCACGCCCTCTCCCCGCCGCGCCGCCCCCTCCCCACCGCCCCCCCCCGCCCCTGCGCACGCCCTCTCCCGCCGCACCGCCCCCTCTCCGGCCCTGCGCACGCCCTCTCCCCGCCGCCCCCCTCCCCGGCCCCGCGCACGCCCTCTCCCCGCCGCGCCGCCCCCCTCCCCGGCCCCGCGCACGCCCTCTCCCCGCCGCGCCGCCCCCCTCCCCGGCCCTGCGCACGCCCTCTCCCCGCCGCGCCGCCACCCCCGCCCCTGCGCACGCCCTCTCCCCGCCGCGCCGCCCCCCTCCCCGGCCCTGCGCACGCCCTCTCCCCGCCGCGCCGCCCCCCCCCGCCCCTGCGCACGCCCTCTCCCCGCCGCGCCGCCCCCCCCCGCCCCTGCGCACGCCCTCTCCCCGCCGCGCCGCGGCGCTACGCAGGCGCCACCGTGTGCGGGGCTCGGCGGCGCCCTTTCATCTGTGATCGGAAATGTTTCGTCGAGTTTTTCGTATTGGTTCTTGGAATGCGCCAGTTTTTCACTTTAGTGAGGACTGTTCGAAGGTCCTCACAGTGCATCCAAGGAATGGTAGCCTAAGGCTAACGTTTATTTCAATGTTTTATGCCAGATGCCAGTTTACCTCAGATTCTCACAACAACTTTCCAAGGGGCCCTCCCTGGTGGCGCAGGGGTTAAGACGCAACCTGTGGAGCTGCCTGCAGCCACTGCAATACGAATGCGATCCCCGCCCAGGGAGCTACCCACATGGCGCAGCACACCTCTCCTGACCCTCAGCAGTGTATTTCGTCAATCTGCCTGTTCTGTTCCCCACTTTGTCTTTGGTGGGTCCTCTCACACCCCACACCTCTGTATGCATAAGAAAATCTTTTAAAAAATAAAACAAAACAAAACTTTCTAGGCAATGTACTATTACCTTCCATGTTTTTCAGGTGTGTGAATAAGTTATGTAGCTGTAGCGTCCCTACAATCTAATGCAATATTAAAAACTTGTGGCTTTAAAGTCGAAAACTCTTAAGGACTCAGTGAGGCCCTTTCCTGGCTACATGGAAAGAGGCTGATCTGAGTAACTTAAAGGGATTTATTCATAATATACTGCGCCTGATGTTCTACAAATAAAGGGGCACAATGTCCTTAAATTCCTTGTGCAGCAGTAACCCACTTGTATGCATCAACTTTGACCTGCAAATACACAATACATCTACAAAAGGAAAAGTGATAACAGTTACAGCATAAATGCGGAAAGAACTTGGGAGAAGCATGTGTTGGCAGCTCATGTCATTGTTGCCATTGAAAAAGGAGGTGATGACAGCATCATGTCCAAGAGTACTGGCCAGGGAACTGTGCTAAGTTTGCTGCTGCTATAACTACTCACGTGGTTGATCTCGTTCACTCCTTCAACCTTCACTTGGCAAATCCAGGCAGCTTTCCAGAAGCCTCAACTTCAACTGGTTACTGATCCCAGGGCTGACCACCAGCAGCTCTCAGAGGCAGCTAATGGTAATCTGCCTCCTGTGCGACACATACTCTCCACCGCGCTATGTGGACAACTGCCAGCCCAGGGAACAATTTGGGCGCTCACTCATTGGGTTTCGCCCTATGGGTGGACTCTGGGCCAAGAAGTTCTGCACATGCGTGGCACCATCTCCCATGTGCGTACATACCTGATTTCTACTTCCATAGAGATCCTGAAGAGATTGAAAAGGAAGAGGAGGCCACTGCTAAAAAAGACTGTGACCAAGGAGGAATTTCAGGATGCTTGATATGTTCCAGGCCCTAAATTTACTCCACAAAAGCTGAGGTTGCACATTGATCAAAAGGTACAGGTCTCTTCTATCTCTCTTCAGCTGTTGCTTGGCGAAGCTTGGGGCACTCAGCCATTGACGACTGGACAGCATTTCCTACTGCTCAGGTCACAGCTTGGGTAAGAATAACCACTGAGTGGTCTTGAACTGTTCTTCCACAAACTTGTAAACAAAATGGAAATACAGTTTATAGAAAGTAAAGTTTCTTAAAATGAAAGTATAAAGCGTTAAGACAATTCAGAAAAAAAGGGAATTAGTGGGGAAGGTTTCGCAAATGAGGTATTATTTGAGCCAATTCTTGAGTAATTTTCATAAGAAAAGGTTGTCTTAGTGGTAAATGGGCATCTAGAGTGGAGATAATTGTTACTAGGCAGGAAAACAGAGGACACATTTGGAAAAAAAGAAGCTTGTTCTGTTTCCGCTTAAAATAATGCTAGTGTAGGGGATTTGTAGAATGTTTCAAACAGTAGGTGTGATCAATGACAGAGAACCTTGAGATAGTTCTCTAAGTGAGAGACTTAGAGAAGTTCTTTGAAACCAGACATCTTTCCCAGGGAAGTTATATTTCCCCATCATTTATATTATAAGCAAGAACCTTCTTATGTCCTTGAATCATTACTAAAAATTCAGAGGAAATTTGAATTAAAGTAGTACTCATTTGAAGGAAAGTGCCAAATTATTACCACATATAATTTTACATATAAAATACCCAGCACATAGAAAAAGTTAACCAGGCCACAAAAGGAAATTAAATCAATAGGTAAAAAATAGATATATGTGTACATATCACCTAATTACATAGCCTTATGTGAAGAAAATGTGATAGAGCTATAGAAGGAATTGATTAATCCAATATCAAAGTGAGGGATTTCAAGAGATTTTTATTTGCCTCTTTTTTTTTTTTTTTTTTTTTTTTTTTTTTAAAGATTTATTTATTGGGCTTCCCCGGTGGCGCAGCGGTTGAGCGCTGGGTTGCGAAGCTGCCCGCAGCCTCTGCGGCGCCGGTTCAATCCCCGGCTGCTCCCCGGCCACTGGAGGAGGGTCCCACATGGCGTGCAGACCTCTCCTGCCGCCCGCTGCTCCCCTCAGCAGTGTACTTCGGTCCTTCTGCCTGTCCTGCATCCTGCTCTGACTCTGGTGAATTCTCTCACCCTCCCGCGCTTCTGACTGTACCCAGTGCTTGTATAAAGAAACAAACAAATAAATAAATAAATAAAACATGCCTCTAAAAAAAAAAAAAAAAAAAAAAAGATTTATTTATTTATTTATACAAGCACTGGGTACAGTCAGAAGCGTGGGAGGGTGAGAGAATTCACCGAGCCAGAGCGGGGAGCAGAACAGGCAGAAGGACCAAAGCACACTGCTGAGGGGAGCAGCGGGTGGCAGGAGAGTTCTGTGCGCCATGTGGGACCCTCCTCCAGTGGCTGGGGAGCAGCCGGGGATCGAACCGGCGCTGCAGAGGCTGCGGGCAGCTTCGCAACCTAGCGCTCAACCGCAGCGCCACCAGGCAGGCCCATTTTTAAGCAACCAGACAAAAATCAGCAAGGATATAGAAGACAAGAGCTTTGAAGTTAATAGACTTGACCTAAGGGGCATTTATAAAGTTCTGCATGTAACAATAGGAGAATTTACATTTTTCTTAAGCATAATTGAAATATTTACAAAAATTAATCATGTGCATTAATAGCCTCTACGGTGAATTGTTTGTTCATTTTCTGCTGCCCATTTGTTATTTTATTGTTGAATTTATGTATCATGGATATTAATCCCTTATCAACTATGTATTGTGCAAATATTTTCTCTCATTCTATAGGCTATCTATTTGTCTTACATTTTCTTTCACTGTATATAAGATTTTTAATTTGAGGTAATCCCAATTTTTATTTTTAATTCCCTTTCCATAAGATTTGAATTATCAAAAATATTTTTATTGTTAATATCATAGACTATGTCACCGATGTTTCCTTCTATGTATTTTATTGTTACAGGTCTTATATCTAAATCTGTAATCATTTGGAATTATTTTTTGGATGGTGTTAGCAAATCATCAAACTTCATTTTTTAGTGTGTGCTTCCCAATTTTCTCAGCATATATCAGCACCATTTATTAGTGAAATTGCACTCCCTCATTTTATGGTCATGGATGTTTTACCATAGATTAGGTGCTGATATATGCATGGATTTATTTCTGTACTTTCAATTCTGTTCCATAGGTCCATGTATCTATTTCTGAACACATAACAAATCCATCTAAACATCTGCACTCAGAGATGTCCATATTCTAGCATGACTTATAGCACCCTAAGATTGTGTCCCAAAGATACCTTTTTCTTTTAATACTGCTGCTTTTAGTAAAATTTGAAGTTAGGTAACATGATTCCTCCATTTCTCTCCTTTTTTCTTAGGATTGCTTTTGCAATTCAAGGTGTTTTGTTGTCCCATATAAATTTCAATTTTTTGGTTCAATTTTTTAAAAAAAGCATTGCTGGGATTTTGTATACCATTTTAGGCAAGAGACTCTTTTGATTATACAGCATGTCTGGGACAGAACCAAGACCAAGAAGCAAGTGCACTTTTTTTTTCTTTTTTTAAAAGATTTATTTATTAATGCATACAAGAACAGGGGTACAGGCCAGATGCGCGGGAGGGTGAGAGGATTCAGCAGAGACAGAGTGGGGAGCAGAACAGGCAGATCTACCTAAATACACTGCTGAGGGGAGCAGGGGTGAGACAGGAGAGG